CTCTGTGCCAGTTGTATCCTCACCATGATTTCTTAGTGTTTTGTCTTACTCATTGAAAAACTCGAAGAATAAGAAAGAGCTTCTTTGTTTACCTGACGGATGATCGAGTATCCACTCGATTGCTTTGTTTTGAGTCAGAAAAAAGATTACTAAAGCATAGATGTAGAGTGTGTGAATCTTGTGATATAATTGGAAAGCAAATTATCCCATTGGTCTGTATAAATAATTACTAATAGCACTATGAACAGCAATATGAGAGGTCATCATAGGCTTTCACTTAATGAAATAATGATGAGTTAAGTTTTGTGTGTGTGTTGTGGCCTCTACTTCATTCTCAGACCTTCTCAGTTCTCCGCCCTTACCCCAGTATGGCAACCTAAAAAAATAGTAAAATAAAAACCTATAGCTGTTTTCTGTTATTCTTTGCAAATCTGTTCTATATAGAAATTTCTCCACAAATGGAGAAATATGTTTTCTGTATTGCTGAGGACAACCGTTTCAGTGAGACAGTCTGCCCTTAGGTGGCTGTGTAATCTTGGCCAGTTATGTATTCAGCTGGCCAATTTTTGTCATCTGAGGTGAAGATTGGGTGAGACAGTTAAACACGTGAAGGAAGCCTATGCCCCTTAATTGCGTATCCATGCCATGAGATTCTGGCCATCATTTATTCAGCACCTCTCTGCAAGGTCCTTGGGGTGAAAGGTCTGAGGTGCGCTCAATGGTAGGTCAAGGAGCTAATGTGCAAGCGCTGTCTACCTGGATTTGGATAGGGGATGGAGATACCTTTGGCGATATGCAGATGGCGCAGAGCTAGGAGGGGTTACTGACATGGCGCATGATGGCCACACAGCAGACATGAATCAAGTAAGATGGAATTGTTATCAGGGTGACATGGAGAGGTTGACCTTTGATTTTAGAAAGCCAGCTCTTCAAGTATAAAATGGGGAGCCGTGGTGGATAGGCAGCAGTTTGCCTGAAAAAGATCTGGGGGTTTTAGTGGAGTCACTAGAGTCTCATTATGACTCATCAGTGTGATAGGGCAAGCAGATCAGTGAATGCAGATGTTATAATCTGCATTTCCCATAGAAGCTGATGAAGTGGTGACTTGACCTGTGGTCATACAGTTAGTCAGTGTGGGAGACAGAATGTGGAGGCAAGGATGTCCTGACTCTAATTCCAGCAGTCTGACCACACTGCCTTGAGCCCACAAGGACAAGGACACAAATAATGATATCACGGTGGGTGTGTTATAAGTGTCAAGGGCAGGTACAGGCCCAGATACCAGGGGACATCCAAAGAGGGAGCATCTCCTCTGTCCCAAGTTAGAAGTGGGCAGTGCCCGCCTGGCGTGGTCCCAGTTGGCGCCTCTGTCTGTCGCTTGCCACCTGTGTGACAGCTCGCCTCAGCTGGACCATGATGGAATTGGGCTCACTGCTTTCTGAGGGCCCTTTCAGGTCCTACGTTGAGCCCCCAGTGGCGTAAATGATGGTCTTGTCTTGGAGGCTGTGGCTTCTGGCAGAGCCAACCCACCGGTAGCGTGACAAAGGAATCAGCGTTACCTTGTTCTTAATCATGTGGCAGGTAGATGGACACGATAGAATTTCTCACTTGGGATTCTTACTTTCTGATCCACTATTTCAGTGTCTGTGTTCCCATTCACTTTTGATTTCTTGTGAGTAAACTTAGCCACATAGACGGAGCAACTGATCGTGTATTAGCCTGACTTGGTGTTAAGCCCATCCTTCAGAAGCAGCAGAATCATTGGAAGGAAATTCCCCAGCAAAGGGCAGCTGGCTGCTAGCATGGGAGTGATGGGAATAAGTGACCACATCACGGTAGAGTTTAGGCTAGAAGAAAGGAGAGCCAAACCAAGTCTGACAAGCAGCCTGGATTTTTGGAGAGGTCGAGAGGAATCCTGAGCATTATGCCAAGAACTGACACTCTGCAAGGGAAGCCATCCTCAGGAAAGACGGGAAGGTCACAAGAACAAAGAGAAACAACTTGAATGAAGAGGAAGAGGGAGATTTATGAAGGAGAGAATGATATACATGTAGAGGATACTCGTGAACCAAGTTAAAATTGTAAAAGAGATGTGGAAGATGGCAACAGAGATAGGTAAAGAGACTCATTTAGAATTGAGCACCTACTAAGTGCCCGGCACTGTGGGAGGAGCACCTAAAGACAGAAGGGGCTTCCTGCCTAGCTGGTAGAGACAACTTAAATACATCTGTTTAAAATGGATACCAAGTCAGTACAAGGTGATTTGGGCAAAAGCACAAGCAGCTGGTGAGGGTCAGGAAAGACATGGTAGGGAAGGGGAGGCTTGAGCTGAGACTTGAAGGAAGGCCGGGATTCTGAGAGGTAGAGGTGAGGAGACGAGGCAGGAGACAAGGAGCCGCTCTGAGCTGCGGCTAGAGGGCCAGCGTGACTGGACCCTGACGTTGAGGGAGGCCAGGGATGGGCAGGGGGGGCTCTCTAGGTGGCTGCGGCCCAGCGGGCCCTGGAGGGAGTTTATCGAGTCAGGGAGCAGCACAGTCAGACTCGGGATCATGGTGGAAAAGGATAAAGGAGGAATAACGCCAGTGCCCATGTTGCTGGGAGACGCAGATTCTAACAGCCCAATCCTGGACCAGTCCAGCCAAGAACGGCACCAGCTCCTGACCAGGCGGGCTGGCAAGTGAACTCTCTCAAATGCGGGGTAGTAAGGCCCAGGGAGGGCACTCAGTGAATCCACTCACTGCCCTCCATGTGACCTGGATTCTACACCTGTGTTTAACAGAAGGCCCACAAAGCCACTTTGTACTAGAGTCCAAGGATTGTAAACACAGCTCATAGAATTATTTAACATTAGGTCTAGAAAGGACCCGAGAAATCATCTGGTCTTTTACTGATAAGAAAGCTGATGTAACTTAAGTTTTTAATATGCCTGAGAAACATTGGAATAATGCACACACGTGTGTGTATAAACACACACACGTACACGTACACATATATAAATATATGAACATGTGTGTATCACTTTAAGATTCAGAAGCTGCTGTCATGTCCTACGGGGGATAGGTAGCACATGTATTATTCCTGTGTTATCAGTGAGGACACTGAGGCTCAGAATTTGAGGATTATCTCTAGATCACAAAACTACTAAGTGTCGGAGCTTGAATTTGAAGCCGGGCTGTGTGGCGCTGTTGAACTAGGAAGGAGCCCAAGATAAACACTGATGTTTCATAGCACTGCATTAGCGTTTATGTGAATGATTAATGATAGGAAAATCTTAGATTTTTTGAAAGCTGTAATTGATTTAAATTTAATGAAAGCATCTAATCACTGTCGGAGGCGTTTAACAATTCTTAAAGAATATGACTAAAAGGAAAGTGGTCAGTATTATATAGATTATTGCTTTTTATGAACTGTCAGTCACCGAGCATTTATTAAGCACCTACTCTGTGCCGGGCCGTGTAAAGTGCTGGGGATGCAGAGGAAGGCAAGAATGATCCCTGCTTTGAAGAAGCTGTGATGGGAGAGAGACCGCATGGCAGCAATTATGTACAAACCTGCCGGAGACAGGATGAATCAGGGCTGAGGACACCTGAGGTAGCTGCGTCTCAGAAGGAAGGCACTGAAATGAAAGAGGACAGGGACTTTGACTGAGGCTCGAAGGAAGCCCGAGGAGCGGGAGGCGGAGGGGGAAGGCTCCGTCTGGGCATCCGTCCCGTGGACTTCCCTTGATTCGCCCACTGCTCAGCGCTCTCCTTGTTGTTGGTGCCTGGGCATGCTCTGTCCCCTCTGTTCAGGGGCAGGGGATGAGAGAAAGGCCCCTCTCTTTCCTCTGTGTCTAGCCGTGTCTAGCGGTCACCTAGAGGAGGAGGCATTGGGCTTTAGAGGTTTCATTTATCCCTTTGAATTTGTACTGGGATTCTCAGAAGCCGTTAACACCTACCTCTAAATGAAGAGCAAGGCGGGTTCTGCGGTGGCAGGAAGCCTGCGTTTAAGGCTCCGCGGCTGGGCCCAGCTTGGACGGGGCTCCATCATTATCACTGCGGTCCTTTCTCTTCACCAAGTCCTGGTTTACTTGTCTCTGAGGGGAGGGGTGACGTTAGGCCTCCCTCCCTTCAGCTGTGCCATTGTGTGCCATAGAATCCTCTATTCCATGCCCGACTGCCTCCCGTTTCTGAGGTCTTCTATTTGATGAGATGTTAGATCTCTATACGATCTCAGCCTTATCGTTTTCTCCTCCAGGAATAGTGACAGCACTTCTGTTATGCATCCCCTCTTCCATTCCCGCATTCCTAGATTTTTCCTGATATTTTCAGAGTTGATATGATTTTATATCATATGTAATTATATTATTGACTACATATCATATGTAATTATGTATTATTACAGCATGTATAACATTTTGTAAAATAGCATTTATACAGAAAATCAGGCCTGACCTTTGATGACCTAGGTCATCATAAGGAAAAACTTCCTTCCAGCCTCAGACTTACTGTTTTGAATGAAATAAGGCAAAAGCGGTGAGATTTGGATCTCTCTTAAAGCCTAAGTCATTGTCCCTTCCTACAAAGTTATTTGTTACTAGTTAATGTTGGACTGTATAAATAGAACCTTTTGGAAAGTTTGTTTTTAAGAACTTGAAATGATTTAGAAATACTGTAACAAATCAACATTTACCAAGTGGAATTGGATTGAATTATAGACTTTTTTTTTTTTTGGCTAGGCAGTGGGTTTAAGTGACTTGCCCAGGGTCACACAGCCTAGTGTTATGTGTCTGAGGCCGGATTTGAACTCAGGTACTCCTGAATTCAGGGCCGGTGCTCTTTCTACTGCGCCACCTAGCTGCCCTGAATCATAGACATTTTTTAAACAAAAACTGGTGTATGAATCCATGCTCGTTTTGATTCATTATCATTCAGATCATTTTTTCCTTTTAAGAATGTTTGATGATATGTTTTTTCTTTATGTGAAAACTAACTTTTTTTTTTGCACTGTTGGCTTTCCAGGAATCTCCTCTATGTATATCCCCAAAGCCTCAATTTTGCAAATCGCCAAGGCTCTGCCAGGAACATCACTGTAAAAGTCCAGTTTATGTACGGAGAGGATCCAAGCAACGCCATGCCGGTAAGCGATGGCATTTGTTTTTCTTCTCCTGTCTAGCTTGGAGAGGAGCCAGAACACTCAGATCTGAAATTACCTGTTAAAAAATGTCTGAGTGCAGAACTTTCTGTGTGGGTATAAATGTGTGTATTTCCAAACCAAGTTAAATATTCGTTCATTCAACAAATATTTATTGACTGGTCTACGTGCTGCAGGAAAATACAGGGATGACCAAGACAGATGGTGTCTCATCTTAGGAGTTTATCATGTAGTTGGGGAGAGAGAATGTATCTGCAGGGAATTGCAGCATGAGGCAGTGTGTGATAGACCCGTCACTTATGAGTGCTCTGGACGGGTAAGCCGGTCAACTTCTGGCTGGGGAGATGAGGAAGGGCTTGATTTAGGTTGGCTTTGCAGGGATAGGGTCAGTCAAGGGAGCTATGGTGGGAGGGCGTTCCCAGACTGCACAAAGTGGGGGGCGTGGTGAGGAATGGCAGATTGTGTTTGCCTGAGCTGAAGGCTTCTGTGTAGGGATGCAGCAGTAGATGAGGCTGTAGGCAGCAGTCAGATGTGGGGTCCCTCAGGAAGGGCTGGCTCACCCCTCTACTGGGGGGTCTTCAGTCGGATCTGGAATGGACTCGTGTCGGTTTTGTTGTAGAGAGAGTCCTTGTTCAGCCGTCCTTCGGACCAAATAAATAGCCTCTGAGGCCATCGCGCCTGAGATTCTGTGGTTCTGGACCAAGTGTCGTCTGAGTCCCTTTGAAGTCTGCGAACCTGTGACTCTGGGGATTCCGCTGGAGCTCGGCCCTGAAGGAGCGCCTCGTGTATACGGGTGTGCTGGGGGAGCATTTACATCTCAAACTGGCAAAAACTGCGAGTCAGGGCTTGGGTTTGTGGTCCACACTGAAGAGTGGTGGAAAAAATGGCAGTGTGTAGCCTAAACGTGTGTGTGTGTGTGTGGTGTAGGGGTGTGTGTGATGTGGGTGTGGGTATGGGTGTGTGGTGTGGGGGTATGGTGTGGGAGTGGGGGGGGGGGCGTATGGCGTGTGTGTTGGGATGGCAGTTGATAAACATTTACCAACCCCCCTCCCAGGCCTGGCCACCAGGCGAAGTATTTCTGTTGGCCCTCAGTAGGTGGGAGCCATTGGTGTTGGGTGGGAATTCGATGGGAAGAGGGAAAGACACCGGCAGCCAGCCCCAGTGCAGGCGTTGGGCCTGCGGGCAGCCGCAGTGAGGCCTGTAGAGTTGGAGGGCAGGGATGGTGAGCAGAGACCTGGGTTCAAGGTCTCCTGCTGTCTGTCGCTCACTAGTTGTATGACAGTTTCACTGGTCTGTACTTCAGTGAGCTCATCTGGAAAATGGGAATCATCGTGCTTCTGGGGCCCTCTTCACTCCTTTTCTGGGGGGCTTCTCCTGGGGCATCCACTTCTTCTACACTTCCTCTCTCCTGGGACTTCCACTACTTCTACACTTCCTGTCTCCTGGGACTTCTGCTCCTTCTGATGAGGTTTAGGGGTATTGGGACCCCAAAATCACAACACACAGGTCCTGTCCGAAAGAATTTGACCCAAGCCTTCTTTCAGCCAAAGACAAGGTTTATTAGAACATCCGTCATATTGGACAGACTCTTAAGGAGTCTGAACATTAGTAAGCTATTGGCTAGATTTTAAGAATCTGAGCACCTTAATGGAGACAAGATGGACCTTATATACAGAAAGGCTGTGGGAGAGATCTAGGAGTGGCCAAGTAGTCTGGTGGGGCGGGGGAGGGAGGGGGTTGAACTGTGAGGTAATAGAATGCCAGGGACCTGGACCAGGTGGCTAAGGAAGAATGGAGCCTAGCTAGGACTAAGGGTGGGAAGTGTCCAGGGGCCATAGGGAGGTAAGAGAATGGAGGGCCGGGCTAGGTTAAGGGTAATGGAGAGTGGGCCAAGCCACAGTGAAAGGCCAGTTGATGGAATTATAGCCTCAGTCTAAAGCCAGAGATTTGGCCATGTGGGAAAGTCCAGGGTGTTTCCTTTTTGGGGTCTAGATCTCATCTTCATCATTTCTACACTTGCTCTCTCCTGGGATAAAGTCACCCTCTGCTTCTGTATTTCCCACCCGCCTGGACTTGTTTCTGGAATTCTGGGCCCACCTCAATAACCTCTGAAGCCCCAGCCTCCCCCCCTGGTGGACACTCTCGCCCTTCCGTAGGCAGCACAGAACAGGGGACCTCAGTTACTCGTGGTGGTACGGCTGCCCCAACCTCACGGCATCTTCCTGAAGATCCAGTTACATAATGCATGTGAAGGACCAGCCTTCAAACCCCATTCCAGTGCTGGTGATCATTGTTCTTTTTGTAGGAAGCCTCCACCACTTCCCTTTCCCTCCCTCCTCCCTCTTCCTGTCAGTGACCAGGTCCAGTGTCCCACCCCGTCCCCTTTTCTCCCCCAGTCCTGGTTCAGGCCTATTTCAGTCTGTCAGGCAGCACTGATTAAGCATTTGCTGTGTGTTGGAAAGTGCTAAGCTTGGAGGAGACAGAAAAAAGCAGAAGGCAGCCCCTGCCCTCAGGGAGCTTACAGTCTGGCAGGGGAGACAACATGCAGATGGTTATATGCAAAGCAAGTGATATATGGGATTCCTAGGAAATAATGAACAGAGGAAAGGCACTAGAATTGAACGGAGTTGGGGAAGGCTTCCTGAGAAGCTGGGGCTCACTGGAAAGTGGGACTTAAAGGAAGCCAGAGTGGTCAGTCAGTCGTCAGAGCAAAGCAGGGAGGGCTTCCCAGACCTGGGGGGTGCCAGAGAAAGTGCCCAGAGCCGAGACAGGGAGGGTCTTGTTTCACAGAGTATGGGTCAGGGAGTGAGGTGTCAGCAGGAGGCCAGTTAGGGAGGGCTTGCGGTGCCAAACGGCATTTTGTAGCTGTTCCAGAGACCACAGGCAGCCACAGAAGTTTATCGAGTAGGGGCGGGGCTGACGTGGTCAGACCTGAGCTGTAGGAAAATCCCTCTAGTGGCTAAGGCTGGGCTGGAGGCCCCCGGGGGCCCCCGGCAGCTCCTGCAGTGCGCCAGTGTGGGGGCTGAGGGTCTGCACCATGATGGGGGCAGCATCAGAGTAGAGGAGGGGGCGTGTGAGAGATGCTTCGGAGCTGAGAGCCAGGGTTTTCCGTCTTTCTCCTCTTTGGCTTCTCCTCCGTGTAACAGCCACCTTGAGATCCCCCAGACTGGATCTGGTGATGTCTCTGGCCCAGAGTCCTCTGTGGTATCCTTCAGGATAAAACTACACAATCCCCCACCTGATATTTAAAGCCCCCATGTACTTTTCTGGTCTTGTTTCTTATTATTTCCCAATAAGGTAATAATAAATAAATAACATATTTGTTGTTGACTCCTTTTTCTGTCGTGTCTGACCCTTGTGACCCCATTTGGGGTTTTCTTTGGCAAAGATCCTGGAGTGGTTTGCCATTTCCTTTTCCAGCTCATTTGACAGATGAGGAAACTGAGGCAAACAGGGTGAAATGACTTGTCCAAGGTCACTCAGCTAATGTCTAAACTCAGGAAAATAAGTCTTCCTAAATTCAGGCCAAGCATTCTATCCACTGCACCACCATTTATATAATTATTGTAATTTAAATTTATTTATAGTATAATAAATATACCATACAGTGTAATAAATACCTAGGTAGTGCTGTGGGTAGAGTGCTGGGCCTGGAGTTAGGAAGACATGAGTTCAAATGTGGCTGCGGACACTTCCTAGTTGTGTGGCCCTGAGCAGGTCATTTTACCTCAACTTGCCTCAGTTTCCTTATCTATGAGATGGGGATCATGATAGTACCTCTGACCCGAGTTGGCATGAGGCTGAGATGAGATAATGTTTGTGCAGTGCTCAGCACAATGCCTGGCACACAGTAGATGCTTAATAAATGCTTATTCCTTACCTTGTTTTCCCCCTGCTGCCCCTGACGCCCTCTTTGCCCTTCACACCAGCCTGCTTGCTGCCCTTCAGTTACAACGTTCCACCCCCTGTGGCCAGCACTCACACAGCTGTTCCCCCACGTCTACGGGGCACCCCCAGCGTGCCAGGCTCTCCCTTGCGGAATCACTTTACATGAGTGGAAGCTCCTTGAGGGCAGGTCTGCATCCTTTCTGCTCCTGTAGCCAGCCAGTACCCCACAGAAGGCTAATCAGTGTTTGTGGGGTTGACTAGAGGGTAGCTCCAGGGTCTGCACCCTCCCTGCTTCCTTGGACTTTCTCCTCCCCAGTTTTCCTCAGAACAGGCGTGCCAGTGACCCCGGGCCCTCTCTGGGACGTCCCGTCCGTCTGCTCACATTTTCCCCCTTTGCTTCCCAGTCCTGCGCGGCCTCTGCTCTCGGGGGGAACAGGAGCGCTCTCCCTTTAGCTTTGGATCCGCCTCCAGCTTGGCACGGTGGAAGTGGTCAGTAGAGATTTGGTGAATGAATGAATGCATGCATGAGAAGGGCCCGAGAGCTTCCGTCCTCCTGGGTAGGTCCTGTCCAGATGCTTCCTTGTGGTCCATTGAAGCAGAATGCCGTGGACCGCGTGGGCCCTGCAGAGAAGCAGGAGCTGACCGCTCCGTGCTGGACGGGCTCTCCTGGAGAATGTGCCGTGGGCAGGGCCCAGGAACCATCCCCACTTCTTCAGGTGTCTGTGGGTAAAGCCTGTCACTAGAGAGTCTATTGATTTTGGTGTCTAAGTTAGCTTAAATGCTTAGGAAAATGTGCATCGTTGAGTTCCAGGGTGAAGGAGTCTATTTTTACAGCCATGGGCAGTAATGCTACAAGTGTTAAACCCTAAAGATGGAAGAAGTTCATTCAGAATTATCTGGCGGTGCATGGCCTTGGTAGGGTGGGCCCTGGCATGCTTGCCACTTTGTAGCCAAGCCGTCATATGCGTAAGGGGTATAAACATTTAATTGCATTGTACTTATGTGTAATTTGTGTTCACGATTTTGGACGTTTTTGTACCAGTCAAAATGTTATGCAGAGGACCTGCGTGTGAGTTCTGTTTTCTGGAGCTTCTGCCTCTGAGTTATGTGACCTTCACCTCTCCCTGGCTCAGTTTCCTCATCTGTAAAGTAGGGCTCGTAATGCTTGCCCAGGCTGTCCACACGGCTTTTGTGGGGGAAGCCTTTTCTGTGGCGTTATCACGTCATCTTTAGCAGTGTCCCCTCCGAGTGTTCCCGCCCCAGGAAGCCGTGGGGGAGGCGGATCAGGAGCCAGAGGGCCCGAGTTTGCATTCCGGCTCTGCAGTATTCCGTGTGATGTTGTGCCTGTCCTCTCTCTTCTCCTCTGGGCTTGCCAGTGCGGAGGCTGTGCTGGACGCCCACTGTAAATCATGGTGCTTGGTGGCCGCCTTTTCTTCTCTGGCCTGTCACAGGATAGTTTGTTGATTGTCACGGCTTCCAGGGGAGGTAAGTGGTCATCGGTTTACAGAGAGGCTCAAGTCTGTGTCCAGGGCTTGAACCTTGTGGGAGAAACAGACGTGCACGGAACAGTCCATGTCTCCGCCTGATGCCTGGCTGAGCACTTCCCCAGAGCAGAACCTCCTGGCTCACGGGCACTAACCCAGCCCCTGCCGATGGTGCAGAGCCACGAGGGGACTCGGGGGGCACGTCGCGCATATGATTTCACAAAGGACGCGATGGCGTCCCGTCAGCTGGCCACGGCCCCCCTCGTTCAGTTCTCAGGTTAACTGGAATTAGACCCTTTTGCAGGAGAAGAAATTTGGGCTCCATTGCCTGGGGTCACACAGCTAGTAGAGGTGGGGCCAGGGACTTGAACCCAGGTCACAGAGCTGAAGGGGACCCGAGAGGTCATCTGGTCCAGTTCATTCATTTTGCAAGCCAGGAAAGTTGTGTGACTTGGATCCAGCTCGTCTTGACATGGAGTCCCAGCCTCTTCTTCCCCAGCAGCCTGTGGCCTCTGAATTTCAGGGGCTGCTCTTCTGCCTCAGCATTCCCTGTTCTTTGTAATATTCCTCTTCCCCCCAGGATGGCTGTGTTTGTACTGAATGAGCTCCCAAGAGAATGTTTCTTGTCACTTATTATCCTACCAGTTTATGCATGTTTTCCTCAAAACACCGCTGTTATTTAGGCTGAGCACCTCAGCGTTACTTCACCAAAGCAGGGAACGTTCATCCTCAAATTGAGGCCACATTTCAGCATTTCATAGAGTCACAGCACTGGAGAACTGGAATTGGTCATCTTGTCCAACCTGTACATTTATTTATATAAATTCTAACTTACTTTTTATAATGAAATTTAAAATGAAGAAAGGAGGAAGTAGTTTCTTGCCCCTCGTTAGATTTAAATAAGGCTTGAAGAATTTTTGGTGAATCTGTAACTTGCCCTTAGATCAGACGTTTGAAGGAACCCGCCTTTATTAATGAGTTTTGTGAGTAGGCCGGTTGATTGTCCTGTCGCTGACCAAGCTCCACGCCCAGCAGCTGTGAGACTGGGAGCTCCTCCCCCGTGACCGCGAAACGTTCAGCTTTATGGTGACGCAGTTTCAACAACACACTGTTATTCGTTCCAGGTCATCTTTGGCAAATCCAGCTGTTCAGAATTTTCAAAGGAAGCCTACACAGCTGTAGTGTATCATAACAGGTACCAAATTCAGATGATTTCTTTCAAAGTCCCCTCTTCCCAAGTACTTCCTCATTAACATGATTATCGAGCCTTTCCTGTGTTTTCTGTATGTTGTGCTTCATTGAGTGTGCCAAGTTCTAGAAAACTGATGTCGTGCTTGTGATTTTCTTCCTGTAGGTACGCATTGACTCTTTTTATTCCACACAGCAGATTTGAATCCCTAACTCTGGTGGCTGAGTTTTGCTGGAAGAAATAAACATTGTGCTTACTGAGTTCACTCACTCCACATTCAAGTTATCTGCCCTTAGCTGGACCTTGGATGCCCTGATCATATCTTTTATTCATCTCTAGTTAACTGCCTATCAGATATTTCATATCCATTGTGTCTAATCCCTTATAGTCTTTTTTCCCTCCAAGTGACACTGTGGTGCGTTTAAGGATAGAGTGGTGACTTTGGAGTCAGAAAGACCTGGGCTCAAACTCTGACACTTCCTAGCTGTGTGACCTTGGATAAGTCGCCTTTGTCTGCCTCAGTTTCCTCGCCTGTAAAATGGTGAAATTGGATTCATTGGCCCCCAAAGTCCCTCCCACCTCTCAGTCTGATTCCTCTCTTCCTGCCTTCCTTTGGTCCATCTCACCAGATGACCTTCTGCTTTGGGGGCTCTGAGTACAAATGGACTTTCCTAAAATCTTCCTTTTGACACCAGCATTTTCCCTGTTGTCAGCCCACCTCATGTCCCCAAGAAGAACATGCCCTGCAGTTCTCAGTGTGGCCTTGATGACTTCTAGACTCTTCCAGCTCCCGTGTTCTGTGACGGTGCCTTTTCCCGTCTATAGAAACCCTTTCAAGACGTCGTCCCCTCGGCTCTCCTTTGGACTCAGACTTGCTCTTCCTTCTTCCTGCTGCTCCTTCTCAGAGCTCAGGTCTTCCCTTTCACATCCAGACACAAAGCACAGAAAGAAGGCACCTGCCCTGTCTGTCCCCAGAGCCACAGTCCTTCCTCATCAAACCCTGCCTCTTCTTTTCTGACCCCTCCATCACTCTGCTTTCCTGGGTTAGCATCTCCTTGCCTGCTAAAAATGGGTTTGGCTTCAGCTTCTGTCCTCATGCTCCTTCCGATCATTTTCTTAGGGGCCAGTGCTAACCCCTACCTGTCTTCTGCCTTGCCATGCCAAGGGGCCACCTGTCTCTCAGACATCTTAATGGCCAGTAGATGCATTTACGTGGCGCTTCCAGGTTTTCAGAGCACTTCACAAATAGTAAATATTGATTAAGCACCCGCTATGTGCCAGGCACTGAGCTAAGATCTGGAGATACAAAGAGAGGCAAAAGACATTCCCTGCCTTTGAGGAGCTTACGGTCTAATGGGGGAGATTGTATGTGCAAGTAACAGGGTAGAAACAAGCTGTAGACAGAATAAACTGGAAATAGTCAGCAAAAGGAAGGCACCAGGGAGCACTAAGGGAGATTGGGAAGGGCTTCCTGTAAAAAGCGGGATTTCATTTGGCCCTCACAGCAACTCTGGGAGGTAGGTGCTAGTATCATCCCTTTTTGACAGATGAGGAAACTGAGGCAGCCAGAGTGACTTAGCCAAGGTGTCTGAGGCAAGATTTGAACTCAAGGTGAGCACTCTAACAATTGAACCACCGAGCCATTGCCTGTGTGTCCTGGCAGCCCTTGCGATGCAGACTGTCCCAAAGCATCCTCATTCTATGTCTGTGCCAGCAGATCTCTCTCTGACTTCCTGGTTTCCATTTGTTTTACTTTCCTGCCACCACTTACTTTGGGGTCATCCATGTTTCCTTTCTCCCCCACCTCCTTTATTCATGGGCAGAAGGATCCAGTCTGTCCCACCCCCTTTCTCGTCCCATGGCCAGCATCCCAACTCAGGCCTTCATTGTCTCTTGTCTAGAGTAACCCTTACGAGAGGCTCTGGAGCAGTGTCCTGCACACAGCTGCTTTCTACTTGGTGCCTCCACTGTGCTGTGATCAGACTGATCTTTCCAAAGTACAGTGCTCATACCTGCCCAGGATCCCTAGCCGGACTCCTCTGGTCCCTACTGTGCCCTTCCAGCCTTCTCTCCTGTTTCTTCCCTCTGTGTCTCACATGTCTCAGCTGAAGTGAACCATGTCTTGGTTCTGCTTTCAAGCAGGCGTTGGGCTTTCCTGCCTCCACCTGTTTGCTTAAGCTGTTTCTCCTGCCCAAATTAACCACCTCTATGTGTCAGAATTCTACCTGTACACACAGGCCCATCTCAGAGACCACACATTCATTCCTGATTGGCCCTAGCAAGAAATAGTCTTCCCTTCTCTGAACCCTTATAACCTGCCTTAATTATGACACTTACCCTCGTTAGCCTTCTGTTTGAGTTCTCAGTCTCTGTGTCTGGGGGTGTGTAAGGAAAAAGACGTGCGTGAGGACGGACAGAAGGCCAGCAAATTGTGTGGTTAGCGGAGGGAGGAGAGGGCAGGAGCAAGGACAGAAACCAGACTGTAAGATGAAGACGTATAGGCAGCAGGCACAGACGCTGTTTTCAGGACGATTTTTCTATAAAGAGAATGAGATGGATGAAATGGTAAATTGAGAGGTGTAAGAAGGTCAAGGGAGAGCTTCATTAGAATTGAGCTTGTTTGTAAGCATGGGAAGGAGACAGCAGAGGGAGCAATTGAATATCTACGAGAGGAGATGATTGGGACAAAGTCTTGGAAATGGGATCCAGACTCTAGCTTTAGGGCTGCCCTGCAGCAAGAATGGTGGGCTGTCCTCTAGGGGAGCAGGTGTGCAGGATGCTACTGCTCCAGGTGACCTCTGGGCAGTGAGGTATGAGGGCTGCTGATACATGTCGGGTCCAGAGCGAGAGTAGGGTGGAAAAGAGAGGAAGAGGTCTGGAACCTTGTGGGGAGTGATGGAGGGAGGAGACAAATGGGTAGAACAGAAGGACTCATAAGGCGAGGCCTGGTTCTGTGGCTGTTACCTAGTGGGTGCTTCATAAGTAAGCCTTTGTTGACATGAATTGAAAGATTGCCAAGCCAGGACAGGGAGGGTTGGCCGATGTGAAGTTGTAGATTTGTGGCAGGTATACTCAGTTTGAATACATGACCATTTTCCATGAATGCTTAGCAGTTTGGGAGCTGGAGTGGAGGAAGTGAAGCAGGAGGGTTATCTGGACTGGAGAAATGCCAGTGTGGAAATGAAGGATGACCTAAGCCAGCGAGGACTTTTAGGGTGGTGGCCAGTGAATTGCTCAAGCACATTCCTTCCCAGGGCAGCTTTAGTATGGAAGCACCCGAAGCCAGTGGGGGACCAAGACATGGCAGAATGAGGGCAAGTAGATGCTCCTGTGTGGGGGCCAATGGGCATTGGTCAGTTCGGACCAGAAGTCTTACTTGAGTCCTTAGTAGCCTCAGTTTGATTGTGTGTAACCCTTGAGTGAAAGAGTGAAATGATGATGGACCTTAGGCCCGTGGTGTTCAGGATCAGCTCCAGACTCAAGTCTTAAGTGTCGTGGAGGTCAACAAGGCTTTCTTCAAAGACATCCCAAGCTGCCACTCACAGACACAGAATCCTGGGCCAGTCACTGTAGGGGCTTAGCAGGAATCTCTGATTACCACAGCACCTGAGAACAGGGCTGAACTGGAAGGCCCGCAGAGCGGTTGGGTTTGTTTTCTTTTAACTGGCCATTGTAGAAGGAAGAGTTAGTTTACAATAATCGCAGGAAGCCATTTGTGTCACAGATCCAAGGGTGATGATGCTTTTTATCTTGCGAAAGAAGAGAAGGGGACACAGTGAATATGCAGCACACCTCGCCCCATTGCTTCTTTTCCCCTCTTTCTGAAAGGACGATTGAGGAATAATTTTAAATTGCAGTGTTCTGTTTGTTTTAATTTTCAGAAGGCTAAAGCGCTGTAGAAATAAAATTTAGGAATGAAATATATGCTTATGAGAAAGTGTCTTTCCTTTTGTGTCCTTTGTGTTGAGATCAGCGTATCAATATAAGTATTGTTATAAACTATGTGAATAACCAGGAGTGACTTTAAAATAGACAGTGTGTTTGTGCTGTATCACTGACTTTCAACCAATGTTTCTTTGTTTTTCTGTTAAGATCCCCAGATTTCCATGAAGAAATTAAAGTGAAACTTCCCGCCACCTTAACCGACCACCACCACCTGCTTTTTACCTTCTATCATGTGAGCTGTCAGCAGAAACAAAACACTCCCCTCGAGACTCCAGTCGGCTACACGGTAAGCGTGTTTTATGCCATAGTTATTGACAAGGGGAAAGTGTTATACATTGATAATTATAAAATTTAAGCTATTACTGGATGTAAATACTATGGTTCTAATAATTACTGTTTTTTAAAAGAAAAAAAATTCTTTTCTGCATGGTCATGAGTCTTCTTATAACTATAACCTACCGTATCCTAGGGTCCTGCACCAGGAGCCAACTTAGAACCATCATTTTGGTTTTTCATTAACTAAAGAGCATTTGGGATCAGACTAAGACAGACCTTCTTTGTACCAGATAATGTTCTATCATGAATAGGGTCTTTTCTAATATAGACCGATACTTAAGGTGATGTTCCTTTTTCTTTAAAGTGGATACCAATGCTTCAGAATGGACGACTGAAGACTGGTCAGTTCTGCTTGCCCGTCTCCCTGGAAAAGCCACCACAGGCTTATTCGGTGCTCTCTCCTGAGGTCAGTATCTCTTATGTTGACATTCTAGAGAAATTTAGGAAGAAGTAAAAATCCACAGAAAATATGGGGGGAAATTCTGTTTGGCTGGTTTACTGAGATGGGTCCTGTTCTGAAACAAAATGATATTTTACTCATTTGAGGGCATGTGATTTAATTTGCATGCATACCCCCTCTGCCGCTAGGGAGGACAGCCTTTCCATCCTTCCTGGGCAGATGCTCTCAGGGAGTTTCTGTGGCCAGAATGCATAGACCCTTTACCTCTGCAATGCACTTTTCAGCTCTGAGCTGGGCTGCTGAGGGGAGGCCCATCCTCCGCCCTTCAGTTTGTCCTGGAAGCATTCGCGAGAGACAGACCTGCCGCAGCTTTGCTCCGGCTCACCTGCAAGGGCCACGGGCTGGCTCCATGCCTCTAGACATAGATTGTGGACAGTCTATGAAAACTCCAGCTCGAGACAACTGTAAAAAATTATTTACTCCAGGCTTCCTTCCGGTTCCACATAAAACCAGGAAGGACCAAGGAGCTAGAAGCTCAGTTGGGACAAACCCCGTTCATCAGTGATTGATCCAAAATTGAATGAAATCATTACGAAAATATGTAACAATAAAACAGTCATTCGCAGAAGTCTAATTTCCAGGGAATGCCCCTTTGCAGGAAGTGAGTTTATAGCCTCCTTTTCCCTTAGACCCGAGCTTCTCATCTAACACGTCCTTCATCACTAGAGCCTTCAATACAAAACATATTGTTAAGGAGCTTCTCACATATTTCACGACCACATCAGGCAGGGCTAAAGCAGCTGTAGGAAGGGAGGCTGTGTGCTGGAAGGACCGATCCTGCCGGTCAGCAGCAAGTCTGGAGGCCTTGGCCTGGCTCCTCCTCACTCAAATGACAGGATGGATCATTGCCCGCTTCTGATCTACGAGCTTCGTTTTCACAAACTCCTCAAGAGGAAAGGGAGTCAGTTGGCAAAGTGGATTTAAGCCTATCTTGTGGAAATTTTATTTTGATATGTTTTGTTTTCATTTCCTTTTCCCTCATTCTCTACCCAGTGGTACCCATTGTTATAAAGAATAAAAAAAGGAAAAAAAAGTTCAGCAGAACTGAATCCATCATCCAGTTGTGACAGTGTGTGCTTCCCACCTCTGCCGTGAAGGGAAAGAGGTTCGTCTTTCCTCATCTGTAGAACGGGCACAGTCATAGCCCCTGCCTTCCAGGGTTGTTGTGAGGACCCAGTGAGATAATGTTTGTAAATTGCTCAGCACAGTGCCCAGCACACAAGCAGGCACTTAATAGGCGCTCGTCTCCTTTCTTACTTTTCTCCCGGGGTGGGCGTGGCCACTGCTCTGCGTTTCCTTACATGCCCCTTCTGGCTCTACGTGCTTCTGAGAGGCTTTCCTTGTTCCTCTGCGTTCTTCTGTTCCATTACTGGCCCTCCCGTAGTTGGATGAGCCAAGGCTGCATTAGTGCTCCGCTGTCCCAGACGGCGCAGGAGCTCCGGCTTCTGTCTCGGATGGCTCTGCAGGGTGGCCGAGCACCTCGGCATTTCTGACATTCGAGACACCTTGTTCACACGATTCCAAACTTTTCAGGAAAGTGTGGATCATCTTTACACAGTCCTCCCAACATCGAGGATTTCCATTCTTTGATGTGTTTGTCCATTTTCTGGGGTGGGGTAAAACCACAGAGTTTCAAGTGTTAAGAATCCAAGTGTATCTTAAACTAAAAGAACAACAAAATGAAATAATAAGGATGATGATGGTGGGAGTTAGTATTATCTCATTTTATCCCCATCAGAACCCCGAGAGGGAGGTGTTATTATCCCCATTTTACAGATGAGGAAACTGAGGCAGAAGGCAGTTAAATGACTTCCCCAGGGTTACACAGAGTCTGAGATCAGATGTCAGCTTAGATCTTTCTGACTCCAGGTCCAGTGCATTGTCCACTGTGCCACAAAGTTGCCTCTAGTCACTGCCTGTGGTGAAATCCTAGCACCCGGTGAAGATCTTGGTAAGGATGTATACATTCTCATTGGGAGCTTGGAGTATTGGGCACGCTGTCAGACTTGGCTGATGCATTAGTTGATTTTGCTGACTGTTTTTCTTTGTTATAAGAGAAGTCCTGGAAGCAGGGAGTGAGGCCCAGGGAAAGGCTATATTTAAAAAGGCCATGAAAGCAAAAAATATCAATGAAATCTACAAAAGTACTTTTAAATAAAAAATTTAAGCATATCTCAAGATAAATGCCATCTGTGTTAAAGTATAGAAATTACATATAACACATTCAGACATACTAAGAAGATCGATGGGTTTTCTGCATACTTTAAATGCTTGCTGTCTATGAAAATGAAAACTCAGCTTGCTGAGTCCTCTGAAGCATAGAACAAGATTTAAAGAAGTACAGTCATGATACCCGTGCGGTCGATTTTGTCCTCTTTCGGTAGTCCTGGGTCTGCGCTGACTTACACTTGGGCATCACCTTGCCGCCTGAATAGAGCCCTCTTCGTGTCCTCAGGGCTGGGGGTCGCTGCAGACATCCTGGTTTTGGGATCGTTGGGGTGGCTCGGCCTGCTTGGCGGCCAGGGCCTTGGCGTCCTTCCCAGCTGCCTGTTTCCCTTTAGAGATGAGCCCGTCATTTCAGCTGCTGCTTCGCTTCCGGGGTCTTTCTCCCATCAGAAGGGCAGGCACCAAGCAAGTCACTCCCACTCTGTTTGTCAAGTATTTTTCTAAACAGAAAAATGCCCTTGTGGCGACCAGCTGATAGGCCAGTACTCTCCTAACTCTTTTCTTCCCCCCCTGATCTGGTGACTTAGATCATTCACCCAGCATTTATTAAGTGCTCTCTGGGTACCAGGAACTGTGGTAAGTGCTGGGAATATGGAAAAGAGGTGAGAACAGTCGTTGCCCTGAGGGAGCCCCCGTTCTGGTGGGGCCACGACATGAGAAAGACTGGGATGGGTGATGGGGCAGACGAGGCCCCTTGCCAAGGCTTCATTTTAGCTGGAGCTTGAGGGAGGCCCCGGGGCAGGGGAAGAGAGAGGGGGATGGCCAGTGAAAAGGCACGTGGTAGAGAGATGGAGTGCTGCACTGCGGATTGTGGATTTTGCGCAGACTGGGCTCTTTGTTAACAGATGTTGTTCAAGTGGAACATGTTTTAACCGAGCTGAGGATCGCTCTGTTTCCCTCATCACAGGTGCCTCTTCCGGGAATGAAGTGGGTGGATAACCACAAGGGTGTTTTTAATGTGGAAGTCATTGCTGTATCTTCTATTCATACCCAGGTAAGTGTGCAGTGAATCTGTGATCGGATCTCATCTGTGTCATTACAAGACTCGTTGATGATGAGATTTCACGAAAGGATTCTGTGTAAAGAAGTACATCTCTTAAAGGGCTCTGGTTATGGGCTGTATTTGATTGGCTGAGGTTTCTGCTGGGACATTTCTTACTGATTTTGTTCTGTCCCATGTGCTGACATTTGTTACTGATCCCGAGTTTGAATGACCTGATTGACATAGGATTGTGGAAGCGGGTGGTATTCTGATTCGGTTGGACAGCAGAAGCAAACATTACCATAATTCAGTCCTATGGTTCCTTCCAGTAGACCTGGACATGCCACAAAATTTGGGTTGGTGTGCTAGATTTGTGACCCTGGACAAGGCCCCAACCCTGTCAGTGGCTCGGGGAATTAACTTGTTAAGATTGCAAGTTGTAGAATTTGAATCTGCCTTGGTAGAGAGAGCACGTCACTGGCACTGATGAATTCATGGATCTGGTTTAAAAAACAACTTTGTATCTCTGGTACTGTCAAGATACTATTATGAAAATAACGCACCCCTTGGAAAGAAACTCTTTTATAAAGAAGAAAGTAATACTTTAACAAAATTATTGACCTAGATTATGTAAGGGCAGCCAAGTGGCACCATGCTAAGTGCACTGGGCTTGGAATCAGAAAGACTCATCGTCATGAGTTCAAATCCAGCCTCAGACACTTACTTGCTGTGTGACCCTGAACAAGTCACTTCACTCTGTCTGCCTCAGTTTCCTCATCTATAAAATAAACTGGAGAAGGAAATGGCCAACCACTCCGTCGTCTTTGCCAAGAAAACCTCAAATGCAGTCCTGAAGAATCAGGTGCGACTGAGCAGCAGCAGAAGATCATATAAAATAGTATTGGTTTGCCTCATGCACTGGACAGAAATGCTTTCCCAGATAGCGTCTCTTTTGTAGTATACACATGATCTATAAGCAGAACTGAGAATTCTGGTCAATTCTCCCAGCATCTTCAAAGTGCCGTGATAGGTTCTAGGAATGCGAGAACTGAAAAGAAGGTAGCCCATGCCCTCAAGGAGCTTACAGTTTAATGAGGAGAAAGATTGTGAACTGGGATAAGCCAATTAAAATGCATACAAAATAAATTAAAAGTCCCTTGGGGCTAGGAAGAGCTAACAGTTCAAGGGATCAGCACATGAGCTGGGGATTCCCAGAGTTCAAAGGGGGAGCTAGGAGGAGAGCATTCCAGCCTTCCAATGCCACCTGCCTGTGTGAAAGTGTGGAGGTGAGAGATGGAATAGAATTCAGAGGGAGCGGATCAGACCAGGAGTGTGAGGCAAGGGGGGGCCATTGTGGCTTTTCTCCCAAGGAGGCATGATGCAGTCATTCCTGTGACTGGAGAACATCAGGTTGGCAGCTCCATGGAGGGTGGAGGATGGACTGGTTCACAATTTCTTCTCCTCCCCAGCTCCAGCCGTCATACTTGGGGACTTCAACACACACAGTGACTTTCCCTCAACCTGCTCGCCTCCCACTCTACTCTTCAGCCCCTCCTCAGCCACACACAAAGGTGGTCACCCTCTTGATCTTGCCATCCCCCATAAATGTACCACGTCCGTGTTCAAGAATTCTGAGATCTCCTCCTCTATTGGCCTTTTATCTCTTCCTCAGTCTTCTCTTACGTACCTCTACTCCTCAGCCATGTTGTGGCCCCGCTCTCTAGGGCCCTCAGTCCTTTCCCAGGTCATCTCCCCTCTCCTAGTTGTTTACCCTCTGCCTGTGCAGGTGACCCCTTCCATCCTGTCTCCTGCAGCAGACTGCCCTGCCCCTGTCCTTCCTGTACGTTGACTTCTCCTCGGTCTCTCCCTCTCCAGTGCCTCCGTCCCTACTGCCTGCAAACATGCTCTTGTCTCCCCATCCTCAAAAAAACGCTCCTTTGATCCTTCCATCCGTGCAAAGTGTCATCCCAGTTCTCTGCTGTCCTTTGTGGTTGAACCCTTGAGAAGGCCATCTACACTAGGTGCCTCATTTCCTCACCTCTTATAATCTGATTTCCACTGGAACTGCTCTCTCCAGAGTTCCCAGGGATCTCTTATTTGCCAAATCCGGTGGCCTTTCCTCAGTCTTCCTTCTCTGTGGCCTCTGGCACTATCACCTCTCCTCCTGGATCTTCTCTTCTCTCTAGGGTTTCAGGACATGACTCTCCTGGTTCTCCTCCCACCTCTCTGGCTGCTCCTCCTCTGTCTCCTTTGCTAGATTCTCCTCCAGATCGCGCCTCTAACCAGATGTGTCCCTCGGAGTTCTGTCCCAGGCCCTCTTCTCCTCTCCTTCTATACTACTTCACTTGAGGAGCTCATCAGTTCCCAGGGATTTAATGACCATTTCCATGCTGAAGAGTCACAGATCTACCTGTCCTGCCCTAATCTCTCATCTCCAACTGCCTTTCAGAATTTCCAACTAGATATCCTGTAGACATCTTAAATTTAACACTTGTAAAACTAAACTCATTAACCCTCCCCTCCCACTCTCCCTACTATTGTCTTCTCACTAATTTTGACCCCTCGTATCCAGTCTGTTGCTGAGGCCTATGGATTTCACCTCTGCAGCATTTCTCAACTACATAGACCCCCTTCTCTCCTCTGACACTGCCCCCACCTCGTATTGTCAGCTACCTTTCAGAAGCTTAAACTAAACTTGTGCCAAAGTGACCTCTCGCCCACTCCTCCCTTCCTTCCCGAGGGCTCTGACTCAGCCTTCCGAGTACACAGTCTGAAACCCCAGGGAGGGGTCAGCAAAGGCGCTCTGGGAGGCCAGAGTGCCGGTCACCTGCCACTGTTGTGTTCTCTCTTCTAGGACCCTTACCTGGACAAGTTCTTTGCTCTGGTTAACGCCCTGGATGAGCACATGTTCCCAGTCCGCATAGGAGACATGAGGATCATGGAAAATAACTTGGAAAATGAATTGAAGAGCAGTATTTCAGCTTTGAATTCCTCTCAGTTGGAGCCAGTGGTGCGGTTTCTTCACCTGCTGCTTGATAAGCTGATTCTTCTTGTTGTGCGGCCGCCTGTCATTGCTGGCCAGATAGGTAACATGCCCCGGGGTGCACAGGCAGCCGAGGACAGAGCTGCGGCCCTCCCTCGGGGGAAACCAAGTTATTCTGGGTTGGGGCTGGGGGAGTAGGATGTGTGGACAAGTAATTCTAATACAGAGTAATACAGGGTAAGTGCGCAAGAAGGTGCTCTCTGAGGCTTGGGGGGAAGAATTTTGTTGATCAGACACCAGGAGAGTGCGTATGAAAGATGGGCTTTTCCTTCGCGCTTTAAAGATGAGAGAGGTCTGAACGGGCAAAGAGGCAAAGGGAGGACATTCTGGGACTGAGAGAATAGAACATGCCGAGAGACCAGAAAGTCCAGGGCGTGTTCAGCAAGTTAACTGGAGTATTTTGAAATGAGGCTGGAAGGACAGGGTCAGAGAGTGGCGTTAATGAATGCTGATCAACTGACTGTGGTGGTCGCGGTGTGAGGAGACAGAAGGTGAGGGATGCAAGGGGCATTGTGGAGAGAGAAGTGGTAGCTGGTTGGCTGTGTGGAGTGAGGAGTTGGAGAGGATGCCAGTGTTACAAGTCCAAGAGACTGGAAGAATGGGGCAGCCCAGGGCAGAAATGAAGAAGGTTCTTGGAGGGTGAAGCCCATGAGTCCTGTCCTGAACAGGCTGCATTTGGGCTGTGTCCAGGACGTCTGGCTTGAAATGTCCAGTGGGCAGTTAGTGGTGTGGGAGTGGTATTGAGGAGATCACGAGGCTGCCTAGAGATGATAATTAACTGTATGGGAACTGATGAGATCCCCAAGAGAGAGCAGAGAGAGAGAGAGAGAGAGGAGGTCCAGGGAACAGCCTTATCTACAGTGTGAGTAATGACCCAGCAAAGGTGACTGAAAAGGAGAGGAGGTGTCAGAGAGATGGACCGAGGAAGAGAGTTAGGAAAGCCCAGTGGAGAGGATGATCAGCAGTGTCACATGCAACGGAGAGGCTGGTAAGTCAAGGTAGCAGGCGTTACTGAGTGCCACTGTATGCCAGGCACCATGTCAGATGCTGCCTTTGAGAATCTCCCAATCTAACGAGACACTCAGGATGTGAGAGTGATGCAGGTGATGTGTGGCACCGAGTGCTGGACCCATCAGAGATTTATCCCCTCCAAGCTAAACATTCAAATTCAATAAAAGCAGTGGCCCAAGGCAAGACAACTACCGGAAGATTTAATGTCAGCAGAGTAGAGTGCTTCTCTAAGCGGGAAAACTGAGCCAGCACGGAATTGGAGCAGAAAAGGAGTGGGCAGCTTTCGGAGATTGGGTGCGCAGCGCTGCATTTACTCTTCTGGGCCAGAATCCTGGCAAACATCAAGACTGGTTTGACGAAAATATGGGGAAATTCAGAAGCTGCTAAATGAAAAATGAGAACACCACAAGGCTTACCAACAGGATAGTTTATCCGTCTCTAAGAAGGCAGCATTTAACTCCATCAAAAGTAAATTGCAAACAGGGGCAGGTAGGTGATGCAATGGATAGAGCTCCGGCCTTGGAGTCAGAAAGACCTGAGTTCAAATCTAGCTTTAGATGCTTGACGCTTATTAGCTGTGTGACCCTGGGCAAGTCACTTAACCCTGATTGCCTCACCAAAAAGCCCCCCCCCAAAAAAAAAAAGTACTAGCAAAGCTTAAAGAGATGTAGGACTCTTGGCTCAGCAGGAAGGCAGATGAAATTCGGTTTTGTACTCATAGTAACAATCCAAAGCGCTTTTATGTTGCCCTGAAGGCTATTTATCGGCCAGAGACCTGTGGTGCATCTCAGCTACTCAATTATGGTGTAGCCACATTGAGTAGAGATGATGGACATGATCCTGGGGAGATGGGCTGGACGCTTTCATGGTGTACTCAGAAGACCATCATCAGTCAATGCTGAAGCCCTCGACCGCTTTCCTCACGTTGAAGTCAGTCCCTCTCTAGCCGAACTTCCCACTGAAGAAGAGGTTTTGAATGCCGTTAGGCACCTCTCATGTGGCAAAGTGCCTGGTGCTGATTCTGTTCCAGCTGAGATTTACAAGGCGGGGCTGCACTGCTCATACAGAAGCCGGCTGAAATGTTCCAGGTTATATGACAAGAGGTTATCCCCTAGGAGTTCAAGGATGCCTCCATTGTCCATCTCTATAAAGGTAAAGCAGGTAGATTGTTTTATGACAATTGCAGAGGCGTCTTTCTCTTAAGTCATTGCTGGCAAGATTCTTGCCAGAGTCCTTCTTAATAGGCTGATCCTTCATCTGAAAGATGGTCATCTACCTGAGAGCCAGTGTGGCTTCAGAAAGGGCCAAGGAACGGTAGATATGGTGTCTGCTGCCCGACAACTCCAGGAGAAATGCCAGGAGCAGAACAGAGGCCTGTGCACAATGTTTGTAGATCTGACCCAGGCCTCTGATGCTGTCAGTCTCAAGGTCTTGTGGAAAATTGTGTCAAAATTCGGTTGCCCAGAGAAGTTCCTCAGCATTGGACATCGGTTCCATGACAGCGTTCTGGATAATGGACGACACTCTGAAGTGAAGCAAGGTCGTGTGCTTGCTCCCATGTTTTTCGGCATGATGTTTTCAGCAGCGTGGTCAGACTCCTTCAACGAGGATGAAGACAGCATCAAGGTCAGTTACCGCACCGATGGTATATTATTTAACTTGAAAAGGCTACAAGCCAAGACTAATGTGCAGGGTCTACAGAGCCATTGTGCTGACCTCCTTGTTGTATGCCTGTGAAACCTGGGCAGTCTACCAGCACCATGCCAGGAAACAGAATAGCTTCTATTTGGCTTGTCCTAGAAGGATTGTGAAGATCACCTGGCAGGCTAAGATACCAGACCCTGAGGTCCTTTCTCGAACTAAACTGCCAGGCCGTCAAACTCTGCTTCAGAGAGTGCAGCTCCAGTGGGCTGGCCACACTGTGTGGATGCCCCAAAGTATGCTTGCCTTAAAGACTGTTTTACGGAGAACTCACACGGAGGTCAGAAGAAGCTCTACAAGGACACTCTCCAGGTTTGTCTAAAGAACTTTGGAATCGATTGTGAGATGTGGGAGGCACTGGCACAGGACCACCCAGCGTGGTGCATCCTCATCAGAGAAGGCACTGTTTGATCAGTGAAACAGAATTGCGGTAGCTCAAAAGAAACATGAGATGCACAGATTTAGAGACCTCTCCCCTCCGGATGCTCACATGGCTTATTATTGTCCACTCCCGACCTGTGGGAGAGCCTCCCGAGCTCACGTCGGTCTGACCAGCCGCAGTCGAACACACTCATTGCACCTTCACCCCAAAAGGACAATGTCACTTTGATCCTCTTCAAGAGTGAAGGACAAGCAAACAACGGTCCAGTGGGGGAGAGAATGTGCAAGTGTCTATGTAGAAACGGAGTATGTGGGAGAGAAATGGGAGGGGTTCTCAGGGGAAGGCCAGGAGGCTTCTAGGCATGAGGGCATGAATGAAGAATCAGAAAGGACCACTCGGTCTGGCCATTTAGAGGTGGTCCAGCACCTTTAGAGAGAGCAGATTCAGCCAAGCGATGAAGTGAGAAGCCCGATTGCCAAGGGTGGAGGAGTAGATGGGAGGAATGGGAGTGGAGACAAGGGAAGGCAGCCTTCTCCAGTCTGGCTGAGAAAGAGAAGAGAGATTTAGAGGGACTGGTAGGACCTGGCGAGCATCTCTTAAGGATTAAGGAGACTTGGGCATGTTGGAAAGACTGCTGAGTAGTGCAGTGGCAAGAACACTTGATTTGGAATTGGGAGGCCCTGAGTTCAAATCCTGTCAGGCACTTCCTCGTTGGATGACCTTGGGTAAGTCACTTAACCACTGTCTGCCTCAGTTTCCTCACGTGTAAGAGGCAGTTAATAGCAGCATGTAATTCAGGTAACCGATGGGAAGTGCTTCACCAACCTTAAAGCACTGTGTGAGTGCCAGCTGTTGTTGAAGGAGGGCCTTGTTTGGGTATCAGTTGAACTCGCTGGCTTTTGAGAGTCTTTCCAGTTCTGAGATTCTGTGACTGTTTTGCAGTTAATTTTTCCTCACGGTGAGTTCTGAGACTTGAGTCTTGATGAAGTTTTTCAGTATTCTCTTTTACATGAAGCAGGTGCTCTGTGTTCAGAGACCCAGGAAGGACGCCTCTGGTATCTGTGAGCATGGAAACCTATTGATCGTGAGCTCCTGCAGGGCAGGGATTGGCTCTTTGCCTCTTCTTGTATCCCCAGTGCTTAGCCCTGTGCCTGGCACACAGTAGGTGCTTAATAAAGGCTTGATGACTGGACTGTCCATGCCCACTGGGGCAGCGTAGTTTGATGAGCAAGTCAGGACGGCAGGCTTAGAAAAAGCCTCATGCCTGTCATTGCCTTTAACATCAGGATTTCCTCTCTGGCACCCCCGCCCTCCTAGAGGCAGAGAGGGCAGAGGTGCTGCCCAAATAACGTGAAGCTTTCCTCCTTGTCTTCTCAAGTGAACCTTGGACAGGCATCTTTCGAAGCCATGGCTTCCATAGTCAATCGACTGCACAAAAGCTTGGAAGGGAGTCAGGACCAGCACGGCCGAAACGGCCTTCTGACGTCATATGTTTATTATGTTTTTCGCCTGCCCAACACCCGTCCCAGCTCGCCATCACCAGGTACTTGATTCTTTGATGCTAGCGGCGGGCCGAGCTGGTGTGATTCGCGGCTGGTCTCCTGGGGCGGGTGGGAAGCCTGCATGACATCTGGGAGGGTGGACAGTGGGCGGTGCGCCTCACTAGCCATGCCAGGACTCCTCACCTGGGATTCTTGTCTCACTCTTGGCAAACAAGGCCAAGCACAACCTGATGCTGGACCGGAGAGGTCCGTTTGCTTACTTGGTTCTGATCAGACTGTTTGAATTTTTTGTTTGCCTTTAACTAAAGATACTTATATTTGTAAGAAAAGAAAAGGTTTGGTTGTTGTCTGGGGTGGTGTGATCTCCTGCAGGTCAGAGACAGCCACCCAGAACAGCCCTTGAGGGACTGCCTGCAGTGTGAGGGTCGAGCCCCAAGTTTGTGCCTCTTCTGCCCTTTTCCCCCTGCTTAAGTAAGGCGTATACCATTCGTCACGTCGGCATGTTCCTGGTTTTTTACCCAGGTGATCTGTGATGCTGCTGGTGCCTGGAATGATTAACCGTCTCCAGGTGTCAATAATGTTAGTCACATGCTACATATTGGAAGTCTTCAAGCCAGCAGACTTTAGTCTGTTCAACCCAAAAGATCTTGGGTCCCATTTTTCATGAGGGAGAAGGGCCTTTGGAAGCCTTTTCATTTTCCTTGAAGTCTGACTGGGGGAAAAAAAAAGCTCTGCAGCAAATCTTAGAGGAGGCATGTCCTTGGCTGGCTGTGTAGAGAAAAAGCATGAGTGGCCAGGGGGGGATTCCCTGGTGGGTGATGAGAGGGCCTGGAGGTGGGAAGGTGCTCCGCCCATCCATTGGGCCGAGAGCCTGTGGTTATAACCGGGCATCCATGGGTGCTTGTGGCCGTGGGAGGTTGGTGGAATGTTTCTCATGTTTCTGTGCCTCTGCTGACACTGCTGAGATGGAAGTCTCTTTAGCCGGTGACCGTCTGGTCTCCAGTGCTGACGATCTGTGCTTTCCTTCTCTGCATCTAGTGGTTCTCCTTTAGAGGCAGAGGTCACTCATCTTCATGCTGGAATTTGAGGGAAGGGCTAAACATGTAATCAGGCTCGTTCAGGGTCTTAGGCCTTTTCTGATCGATTCCTGTTTGCGTGATTGTGTGCTATTTCATGAACCCCTGAAGGACCTGGGGGTTTGGGAGGATCCGTGCACTATGCTACAATGGCTCGATCTGCCGTGAGACCTGCCAGCCTTCACTTAAATCGCTCCCGGAGCCTCAGTAACAGTAACCCAGATATATCTGGGACTCCTACATCTCCGGATGATGAAGTACGGTCAATTATTGGAAGCAAGGTAAGCTGACATGCGTGTCATGTCTTTCCATGAATTTTGTTTGCATTTTATGAATAGTGTGAAGGGGAAAATGTCCAGTTGTTTGTGGTCTTATTTCTGAGGTTCTTTGGAGTGGCACGTACCTGAGAATTCTGTGTAGGTGTTGTTCTCTGAGTAGATAATCGAATTTCTTTATGAAAATGGTAAATATCCCTATTATCCTGAACTACCTCGTGTACTTTGTAGAAAACATAGACTCTAAAGAAACCAATCTGTCGCCAGCCCTGATCGGCTGGGCCAGCACGTCCGGAGCAATCTTTTGTGTGCTGGCGAAATCTCTCATTTCTGATCTAGAAGCTATCAGAGACATGCCCCTCTCACTCTTTCTGCGCCCACACCAGCACCCCAGAGCTCATGGCCCTCCGGAGCCTGAGATAAAGGCACCCTTGGGGGGGGCCCCATGCCTGGGGACCCATCATAAACTGATTTGGGTTAATAAATGCTTGTTGGATTGCATTGAATCGAGGTGGGCTCTTGTCCCACATCCAGGCCTGTTTTCTGGGCTTTTTTGTCCCTTGGGGAGTAACATGATTGCCTTGCACTAGGCAATGGTGTCATCATAGGAGGTCTGATAGGTGCCTGCTCTGCATGTTAGGGCTTAGAGCATTGCCTGGGGCTCTGCCCCATGTGTCAGACTGACCCGGGACCACTGCTGCCTCTCGCGGATCCCATTAGAAGGAGTTCATAGCTAGGAGGAGCCCACTAATGGCTTGTCTTTGCTGGCTGATGAGACTGGTGTCTACCGAGCCCTCGGCTTGTGTGGCTAGAGAACCTTAGGAGCTGCTGTGCTGGACCTTGGTCACGGACCTGACTCGGCGCCGCGGAGCATCTGCACATCACGACAGCGATGCCTTCCCTGGTCAGCCTTCATGACATCTTGTTGCCCACCACTCCTTTTTGAACTAACCTGTAATTTCTTAATCAGAGACCCAAGGCAAATTGTTTAACCTAATGATTTTTAAACTATAAAAAAAAGCACATTAAAATAGGACTCCAAGAACATAAAGACCCGCTCAATCTCCTTAGTTAGGCAGTCGTGGCCTTTTTTGGGGGGCCCGAGGCAGGGGCAAGCACAGATTATGCACCAGTGTGCTGCACATGCGTGGGCTCCTGGGAGACCACATACGTTTAACCAAAGCAGTTTTTGCACACATAGTATGGCGAAAAGCCTCACCCTTAGGAAGCTCTTCCTAGGACAGGCTGAGTTGAGGATTCAATTTATTTCTAAACTTGAAAGTGGGATTGTCTCAGTAAGTGAGTCTGAGCCCTGGCTCCAGAGGATTTTTCATGCCATCGAGCCTGGGGCAGCGTGTTCTCCATAGAATGCCCTGAATGTCTGTGAAGCTTCCATCAGGTTACCATGGAGGTAGCATGGAGTGTTATTTGCCCAAGACTTGTCCTGCCAAGGATCAAAAGGTCTTAGGACAAGAAATAGTAAATATTTCAGAATGATATCGTCCTTAATTCAAGTGATATTTCAGGACTAAGCATGTTAGGCATGGACCTTCCCTGCTGGACGTCTGTCATTGGTGTAGCTGAAGTGAAATGGCGTAAGGGGGTCATTGCTGTTTCAGAAACAGGTGTCGTAAATGGATGATGTCACTGAGGGCATTGCCACTTTGCCACGCCTTGTGGTTGTAGAATATTTAACAGAGTGATCGTGACACGGCATTGGTTGGAGCCACTCTAGGAGTATCTACCAAAGTGGCCACCCAAGACGGGGAATGTAGGCCGGGTGACATGGACCTTTTCTAAAAGGATCAAAAAGCATTTCTTTTTTTTTGTTTGTTTGTTTTTGTTTTTTAGGCAATTGGGGTTAAGTGACTTGCCCAGGGTCATACAGCTAGTAAGTGTCAAGTGTTTGGTCTGAGGCCAGATTTGAACTCAGGTACTTCTGACTTCAGGGCCAGTGCTCTGTCCTCTGTGCCACCTAGCTGCCCCTCAAAAAGCATTTCTTAAGGCCTGAAATGTGCCCGGCACTGTGCTGGCTGAGCCACAGAGACAAAAAGGGAAACGTTCCTGCCCTCAGGGAGCTTGAATGCTATTTTAGGATCTGTGTCTGTGAAACGAGAGAACCAAAATGTGTGCAAGGTGGTGAAGGCAGCCCGCCCCAGGACGCTGCTGTCAGCGTCAGGGAGGGCCTGGGGAGCAGCTGGCCTTTGCCTGAGCTCGTAGGCAGTGAGGAACCCTAGGACGTTGGGGTGAAGAGCCAGGCCTGCCCAGGCCAGGGGTCCACAGAGATGGAGGATTGGATGCAGGGACCCACAGGGCCGCTGGGCCGGCTGAGAGAAGGAGGTTGTGAAGGTCTCCAGACCGCCATTTGTGTGTGCTCCTGCCAGTGACAGGGAGTAATCGGACCTCACGGGGCAGGGTGATCAGAAGCGCAACAAAGCCTGTTTGGATTAGAGAGGGGAGAGGCAAGGCAGGCAGGCAGGTCGAGGCTGTCAAGAAGTCAGGGCGGAAAGGTACCCCACTCCTGTGGGGCTGTTGAAGCTCATCTTCTAATGACATTACCACTGTCTTCTTCTTAGACAGGCTGACAGCCGCCAGTCCAGCGTGGTTTATAGAGCTTTGATGCTGGGTACTTAACAGATAGACTAATAGGATAGGTGCTTTTAAGAAAGGAAAAAACAAAACTTTGAGATTGTAAGAAACCCCAATTTTGTTCTTTTCTGTCACCAAGAATATCACTTATTATCTGTGATTTACATATTTCAGATTCATTGATAAGGAGCAAGTCTTTTCCTTTATTAATTCATATAATATGAATGGGAGACTTTAAAGTCAGTTATCAATGAATTTTTATCAAAACCATAGAAAATTTGAACCTAAGCCAACATCTTTGTGGCCTCAATCAATCAACAAGCATTTATTAATTGCCTCCTGTGTGCCAGGCCTTGTACTGGGCACCAGGAGTACAGTGACATAAATGAAGCAGGCTTTCATATGTACTGTACATGCCCCTCCAAACATAGGCTCGTGTCCATCTTCTTGGCTGATGTCGCCAGGCATGTTGGCCAGGGACCAAACAGCTGGGCCGGAGGGCTGGAGACAGGCCTGGAAGGAGAAAAGGAGCCAGCTTGGGCTTCTTCCTTATGTTCTTGCCTGCCTTAGAACCCAGATCTGCTCCTGCCTGGCTCCAGGATGGACTGATGGCCTTTAGAGTCAGTTAGACCCAGGAGAGGCAGGAGTGGAGAAGAGAAGGCTTAGTCAGGACATAAGGAGGAGCATTCTGCAGGCCATTTCTTAATCAGCTCTTTAGAAATGAAACAAAATGAAAAGCCTGCTGAAAAAAAAAAAGAATAAAATTTTATTGAAAGGGAAGAAAAGTAACAAAGAGGCTCATAGAAGCATTTTTTAACTCTCAGAGAATAGAAGGAAACCCAGACAAGCAGGACAGCTTTGAAATGAGCATCCATAGTCGTGTTCTTCTGGGCTGCATCCTGTGTGGAAATGGGCGCCATGTTTGTTAAGTTCAGAACAGAAAAAACAAATGTTGAGCCCAGCAGGAGCTAGCATGTCCTTGTCAGCACTTTGATGCCCCTTGGTCCTGCCAGCTTCACTCCCCATTCATCCACACATGTCCTTTGTGCCCCCACCTTATATTGCTTAGATTGTGCCCATTTGACCATAAAGCTTCAGTCTCTGGTGTCCCCAATTGGTGTTTTTCATAAATAGAAGTTAAGGACATTATACTATTCCAGGATGCTATTAAATAATTTTCTGTAGTGTCTTACACAGTAGGATGTAATCGGGTAACTTGGATGAACGAAAATACTAGTGCCTAAAATGTTGTTCCTTTAACAGTACTAATGAAAGACATGTTGGCATTGAACACATTAGTTCTTAAAAGACTGGATTTCTTGAAGAATATTCTGTAGCATGCAACATGTAATCTTTCTTTCCTTTCCCAACTGCTTTCTATTATATGCTTAGGGCTTAGACCGCTCCAATTCCTGGGTTAACACTGGTGGTCCAAAGGCTGCCCCATGGGGATCCAACCCCAGTCCAAGTGCAGAGGCAACACAGGTGGTGTCTACAGCATCAGAGGTTTCTTTATTGGCTGCTGATATCTCCCTCTAGAACGTTACTTTTTAGTCCATACTATGGTTTCAGTGGCTTGCTTTTCTCAATTTTGGAAAGTTCATGATTTTTTTTAATTAGCACATTCCCCCACCACATGCATGCATGAATACCACCCAACGTACCAGTGATGTCCCCTCTCCACCGCTCCCCTCCCCCACTCCTGCCTACATTTCTGTGGATGCTGCTTATGAAGTTTGGGTCGTCTGTAGCTTAGCACCTGTCTGGTGGGTTTGTTCTCACTCCTATCTGCAAAACCACAGTGTTCCATTCTTATTTAAAGTCTCTAATCATCTTACCGCTTTCATAAAATATTTAATATCTTGTCATATTTACATAACACTGAATAGTAAAAATGGTGATAAACTGAAGCTGAATTTAAACTGAAAGATGAATGCTGAAAGATTAAGAACCAAAAGTAAAGATATGTTTTAATTTGTATTGTGTTGCAAAGGATGAAATTGGTAGTAACTTAGTTGAAATAGTTGAAATCACTTACCTAATTCTAGTTGCCTGCTGCTTTTAGATTCTGCATGACGTAGAACATACATCTCAACTGTCTTTGATCTATAGGAAGAAAAGTTAACTTTATCCCCCAGAATGCTACCTCATAATTATCATTGCAAATGGCATGACCAACATCGCACACTATTCCTAATGCAAGGATTTGTAGAATATTGACTGCCCCCCAAAAAACCAACCAAACAAAAACCCTCCAGACATTTTGAGTGTTGATTGGGCAAAATTGTTTGAATATTTGTTCTGTGACCATTGAGAAGTATGTTGCTTTTAAAGAAAGGTTTTTTTTTTCTTACTGGATATGTGCATGTTTACAGACTACAACTGTGAAAGTTTCATTCTTTGCAGCAGTAGCTATATGTAGTTCCATTAAAATACCCATATTTCCTTAAACCTTTTTTTAATCCATTGAAGGCATTTGAACTTTTTTTTATACATTGTTGTCAGACTGTTTGAAGCAGCTCAAGATGGTGGATAGCAGACTGGGAAGAAAAAAAAACTGGCTTTTGACAACAGAAATTAAACCCTATTATTGACAAGTATTTAAAGTTGTACATTATCTTTGAGCTGCGAAGTCACCCACAGCAGACTTTAATGCTCTGTCATCATTCATTCATCTTCACTCCATAGGCGATGGATCGAAGTTGTAATCGTATGTCTTCGCACACAGAGACGTCAAGTTTCTTACAAACATTAACGGGACGTTTACCAACTAAAAAGGTAGATTCAAGTGGAGACAACTGATCTTTGGGGGAAAAAGCCATCAGATTCGTCACTGTTCCATAGGAATGTTTCCACCAGCGCCTCAGGCACCAAGATGCCAGCTAGAGGGCTCCCCTTGCTCGGGGGCTGCTCCGCTGTACCCATGGAACGTAGATTCGTTTATGTGATGCAGAATCCGCTGGGGTTGACTCTTTTCTCAGAGCCTGGTGAATTAAAGCTTAGTCATTTAATTTCACTGCCAAAAATGTACCAACCCTTAATATTGCTTCTGTAACTGCTTCTGTTTTGTGTTTAAATCTCCAGGGAAAGGAAGATGAGTTAGAAAAATTATCACTCTTAGTAAGATACGTTAATTTGCTTCCCTTGTGCACAGTTGTGTTAGTCCTTTCTCATATTAATTAATATGCACTAATTTGCGAATTGCTTTGTATGCATATCCATTATGCTATAGGAATGAGGAAGGAATTTTGTATTTTTAAAAAATGAACTGAAGTTCCTGATAACATGAGAAATAAAGGCCAGATTTTCAAAGGTGTCACTTAAATTGTACCAGCGAAGGTTGTGAGAAACCCTCCAAGCTATCCATTTGAAGCCACGGACAAGAGCTAACACATGTTCGTGGCTAGTTCCTGCTCATATTTGCAGGCACAGTTTAAGGGCCCTTTCCCATCTGGCCTTGTACAGTTCCATTTTGTTCCAAGATACCATGTAATGTTTTCGGCTGCCAGCACCCCATCATCTCACATGGTTGCACAGTCGTTTCGTTAATGGATGTCATCCCTGCATCCCCCAGATTGGTCATGTGCCGCCTTTTGCTTCTTTTCATTGTTTTCCTTGTATCTTTTGTCCCAGTGTTGGCATTGCCCCCGAGCTCTGCCTGCTGAGGTAGTGCCTGTATTAACTCTGGATTTCCTCCTGGGTAGCTTTTCCATGAGGAGCTGGCTTTGCAGTGGGTCGTCTGCAGCGGCAGTGTCCGTGAGGCAGCTTTGCAGCAAGCCTGGTTCTTCTTTGAACTGATGGTGAGCGTGCGACCACGTGTGGGCGTAGTTCTTGCGGTTCTCCCTTGCCGCTGGTCTTCGGCTCCACATTTCTCCAGGGCAGAGGGCTGGACGGCTGGGTGGTTAGTTACCGGGTCACAGGGAAACGGGAACCTCTCTCAGTTACTGCTGAAATCAGACGGGGAAAGAAAATGGTCCTGGAGTTTGCAGCATTTGTACTCATTCATGATGAGTATTTGTGACTGGCCGTTCACATTCTCTTCAGGTGAAAAGCATGGTGCACCATTTGTATTTTACGGATAAGCTTGACGCTCCGAGGAAAAACCGCTTTCCAGAACGCTTCATGGACGACATCGCTGCGCTCGTCAGCACGATTGCCAGCGACGTCGTTTCTCGGTTTCAGAAGGTGAGGATGATGTCACTCTTGTTCCAATCTGCTCTGGGGAAAGAGCCAAGCTTTTCAGTGAGTGTCCCTTTAATTCTGTGTTCCGGTCTCCTGTTCTCTAGGACGCAGAAATGGTGGAAAGACTCAACATGAGCCTGGCCTTCTTCCTCAACGATCTATTGTCTGTCATGGACCGAGGCTTCGTCTTCAGCCTCGTCAGGGCCTGCTACAAGCAGGTGAGATGTGACGGGCGCTCCGCAGCGCTGGCTGGGCATCAGGATGTGGGGCGCGTCGGGAGCTGGCAGTGGGATGGAGCTGGCAGTGGAATGGCTCAGCCCCCCTGCTCCCGAGTGGCTCCTCTTCTCTCAGGACCAGGCCCCTGGCCATCCGGGCCCTTCTCCCACTAATCCCACGGTTCTCTTTGGCCCACCAGGTGTCTTCGAAGCTTTACTCGCTACCAAACCCAAGTCTCTTGGTGTCCTTGAGGCTGGACTTCCTGAGGGTCATTTGCAGCCATGAACATTATGTCACCCTAAACCTGCCCTGCAGCTTACTCACGCCGCCAGCCTCGCCATCCCCATCAGTGTCGTCTGCAACATCTCAGGCAAGTGGAGGGAAGAGGGAGCAGACCACCAGGACTCGGTCAGGGAGCCTCATTAACTGCCTACTGTGCGCCAGGCATGGTGCCAGGCTGAGGGTACAAAGAGAGACTGAGTAGCCCTGCGCACACTGAGCTTACAGGCTGTCCACACGTACACATGTAAGATAGATGGGGCATACTGTGTACGTACAAATGAAGCATTTATTGAGCGCCTAGTGTGTCCCAAACACTGGGAGGAGAATCCAGGCAGCCCCTGCCTTCAAGGAGCTCACAGTCTAATGGGAGAGGCCGCACGTGGGGAAAGTTTCAGCTATAAGCCAGACAATAATAAAGGTCCCCTGGTCCTTAGGGCACAACAGCAAAGCAGTGCTCAGGCCCCTTCTTCTGCATCATTTCCACTGATAAGATCCTCAGTTTCTCAGGTTGAACCACTGGAAGGGCCAGGGTGACGGGAGCTTTCCCTTCTGGTCCCTGGTAGCTGTGGCTGCAGCCTCTGCAGGAGCAGTCCCCAGGCAGCATGTCTGCGGGGCCCACCAGGATGACGGCTGAGGCTCTCAGGTCCAGGGTCCTGGGCTATCCCCATTAGGATCTGAGGGGACTGCCAAGGAGTCAAGGGGGAAATAGTGGTCTGACGCACCTGGCCCATTTTGCCCCCTGCTCTCCTTCAGGGGCCCTGCTACTTTAGCAAGGTTGTCCTGCCTGCCTGGGGTGAAGGCTGTCCCCTTGTCCCCAGGACCTGCTTTTCCAGATAATATAGATAATAATAATCCAGGTGAGGCATATGCTGAAAGCAGGACTGCTTGTCTGGGGATGGGGCCCTTGTGCCCGTCTGCCTGTTGGGAATACACACTCACACACACACACACACGCTCACACATGCTTGCACACACACATGTTTAGTTGCAGAAGACGCATCAGCCGGTTGGGTGATCGAGACTGGTCTTGTGTGGGAGCTCGCACTTGATCTGAACTTTGCAGGAAGCTCAAGGCTCCAAGAGGAGGGAGGAGGAGGGAGGCCATTCCAGGAAGAGCCTGGGGCCGAGGGAGGGCGTGTCACAGAAGGGCAGAGAGACCAGGTGGCCTGGATGGAAAAGCACGTGAAGGAGTGAGTAGCATCTGAGAAGACAGGAAAGGGAATATAGAACAGGGTTGTGAAAAAGGTTAAATGTCAGATAGGGCTCCTTATATGTTTAATCATGGAGGCCATAGGGTTCCCTTGGACCTTAGTGAGTGGGGGGTGAAATGGTGCCCTTTAGAAAGGTGACTTTGCCAGGAGCCTGCTGGGATGGGCCAGTTGAGAGGCGATGAGGAACAAAACCAGGCTGGTTCAGGAGGAGTCCTGAAAAAACAAAGAAAATGTCAGGGCCAGAGAAAGCAGAAAGGAGAAGGGAATAGAATGAAAAATGCCTGACTGTTACCAAGAAGGGAATACTGGTCCAGTCGCATTAGCGACCTCGGGTTGCTTCTGAAAGAGTTTTAGCATTCCCAAAATCAGAATTTCAGATGTATGCACCTTGGAAACCTTGAGTTGGGTGTTTTGTTTAGAACTGTTTTACATAATGATGTTGTATTCACTGAGCATCTGAGTTGGGACAAGATCCATGGTGTGTGGTAGAAGTCTTTGTGCCGCCTGCCTCTCTGCTCGAGCCCTCATCTCATTGTACGTCTTCTCTTGATTGCCTCAGCAATGACCATGGATTCAGTCACCATTTATATGCAGGCACCTCCCAGATCTGGGTACTGACCCCTCCTTTCCCTTATGAGCTCCTCCTCACCCATTTCCTGCGTCAGCTCTCCCAACTGGATGCTGTTCCACAGGCATCCCACACTCGGCATGTCCACGCTGGAACTTGGCGTCTTCCCCAGCCGAACCTGGCCCTCTTCTGAACTTCCTTATTTCTAGTGGGGTGACCACCTGGCGTTCATTCCTCCGTTGTGCAGACTCAGTCACCCTTCCCTTGGATCCCCACATCCAGAAAGTTACCAGTGGCTTCTCTGACGCCTCCTCCATCCACCTGCCAGAGTAATCTCTTGAAAGCACAGATTTGGCCGTGTCTCGCCCCTACTCAGAGGGCTCCAGTGGCTGACTGTGCCTTGACAGGCTGATTGCGCACAAGGGTCGCGCCAGACTGGCCTCTCGTTTGCCTTCTGTCTCCCATCTCTGCCATGGCACCACCCCTGTGAAGCCCTCCCTGACCAGTGTACATCCCTGCCCGGAGGTCAGTGCTCACTCTCCTCCCCCCACAGTTATGCAGGATGTGCTCCTCTGGTTACGTGCTGCATCTTCCCCATCAAATGGAAGCTCCTTGAAGGAAGGGACTGGTGTTCTCAAACTTTGTCATTGTGTCATCAGCACCTCAGAGTTCCTTGCACATAGGAGGCACTTTAAGAATGTATGTTGTATGGGGGACAGCTAGGTGGTACAGTGGATAGAGCTCCTGCCTTAGAATTAGGAGGACCTGAGTTCAAATTCGGCCTCAGACACTTGACACTTACTAGTTGTGTGACCCTGGGCAAGTCACTTAACCCCTGATTGCCTCACGAAAAAAAAGAAAAGAAAGAAAATGTACGTTGGTACGTTTTTAGACTTGGTCAGTGTGAGAGTTTATATTGCTTACCTGTGAATATCTGTGACAAGGATTTTTTTCCATATTTGGGAGGAAGTGGAAGAGAAAGGAAATTCACTTGTAGATTTTCTTAAAAAGGGAAAAAATGTGTTGTCTTGGCTTTGCATAGAATTCCCACATTGTAGACCACGGCCGTGGTAGAGGCTCACTTTCACGCACACTTTTTTGAATTGTTTAGTGAAATGACTTCTTATTTAACTCATTTTGCTAGTGGGTATATGTCTACTTTGTAGCCAGTCGATAGTTTCTGTCACAGTATCTTCTAAGGTGGTGTTGAGATTGCAGAAGTAAAGAGAAGAGATGATGGCTGCTTAGGGAATCGAGAAGGACTAATAATCTTAGTTTTATTATCTCAGCTATCTACATTTTATATATGTTGATATGAACTATTGTAGTTTTTTTAATTCCTAAAAGAAGCCGTAGTTAATTTAAACACATAACTGAGTAGTATTAAAAAGAAAAAAGCTTGGGGAATCATCGTAAATTTCTATGTCCTTACTTAAATAAAAGTTAACGTTGTTATATTACTATTCTCTGTAATGTTTTATTGACTAAAATTAGACTTTCACATAAATTCCTTTGCAGTCTTCATTTCAAGGGTCACCAGAACACAAACTAAATTTTAATTTTAATTAAGAATGCAGAAATGTTTACTTGTTGAAAATAGTAAATTCATGGTGACAGTTTTCTATAAATGATGTGAAAACCCAGTCATTGGTTATTCATGGGTTTCACCATCAGGAGCAATGACATGTTTATTAGAAATGAAAAAAATTTGCAAATGAGATCAGTTAAAACTCCTTGAATGCCTTTGTAACCATTTGCCAAGAAAATGTAATGACGAGGTTTCTTGATCTCTCCCTGCCACGCTCTGAAGAGACCAGGAAATGAACAGGTTTTATAGTTTGTGAGGTTCCCTCTAAACAGTTCATGATTTTTCTGGAAATGCTCTCGATGTTTACAAGTGTTTCTTTTGCACTCTAAGGAAGATCAATAAGTGAATCTGGGAGAAAAAGTGCTTTGCTGTTTGTTTTTTGTGAGTGTGTTTATGTGTATCCTTTTATGTGTGTATCATTGCTCTTTAAAGAGTTGGGTTTTTTTTGTTTTTGTGTTTAGTGAGGCAGTTGGGATTAAGTGACTTGCCCAGGGTCACACAGCTAGTAAGTATCAAGTGTTGGGTCTGAGACTGGATTTGAACCAGGGTCCTCCTGACCCCAGGGCCAGTGCCCTATCCACTGCACCACCTAGCTGCCCCGAAGAGCTTTTTTAAAAGTGAAAAATGTTCTCAGCAGAAATAAAGGAAACTTGAAGAACACTACTCCCCTTGGAGAGCAAAGGAGGGGCTGTCCTCTGCCCTGTAGGTGAGGGCCCCATTTCTGTGGCACTGCCGTTCTTACGCTGCCTCTTTGGGTTTTTCCGCAGAGCTCTGGATTTTCCACAAATGTCCAAGACCAGAAGACAGCAAACATGTTCGAGCTGTCTCTGCCCTTCCGCCAGCAGCATTACCTGGCGGGACTCGTGTTGACTGAGCTGGCCATCATCTTAGACCCTGATGCAGATGGGTGAGTAAGGCAGTCTTTGCCTGGCACGGGGCCAAGGAAATGTCCTTCCTGTCTCTTTGTAGTCTGGAGCTGAGTTCGAATTCGTGTTCTGCTGCTGTGTGCCAGGTACAGGGCTAAGCACTGAGAATACGAATAGAAGCTGAGAGGTCCCTCCCCTTGAGGAGCTCCCACTCTACTGGAGAAGACAACCCATGGGAAGAACCTAAAGGGAAGGAGAGTAGTGGAGGCTCCCCATGTCAGGGCATGGCAGAGTCAAAGGAGAGGCTGCCGAGAAATGAAGGCACTTTCCCCAAATGGAGGGAGTCCTGGGAGGAGCCAACCAGCCAGAGGAAAGGGCCAGAGGGACAGCCAGGGTCCAGGGCAAGAAGCCCAGGGGCAAGGAGCCCCGCAGGGAACATCCGCAGAGCCAGGAGTGGAGCCTGGAGAGTGCTGAGCTTTCTGGGAAGCATCTATTAATCCTGTACTTCTGGTGGGGGAGATGGACCCCTCCCTCCACGGGGTGCTCCAGTTGGAATTCAGGCCAAAAAGAAGAAATGTTTCTTTTAAAAAGGGGTCATGTGCTGCTCCAGGGCCTCATGCAGGGGGGGTGTCAGATGCTGGCACGTGATGTGGATGAGGACAGCAGCCTGTGTCGCAGAAGCCCTTGGGGCAGATGCTGGGATTCAGGGTGAGCCCAAACCCAGCCCACACTGGGGCCACCAGCGGTTCTTCTTCATTGCATGAGGATCCCCTTGTCTGTAGAGATGCAGAACATTGGGCCGAGCTTTCCCAACATGCCCCTCAAACTGAATTCTGGAGCGGCAAACAACAAAAGGTCAGAGGGAGATGTGCTTCCACCCGGGGAAAACATAGGAGATCGGGAGGTGAGGTCTGCAGCGTGGGGGAGGAGGCTGGCCTGGGGCCCACGTGGATGGAACCCCAGCGTGGGGCCAGGTGGGAGTGACAGAGCAGCAGCAGCTTCCTGAACTCTCAACTTAAGAGCTGGGAAGGTGACCCCGCAAATGCTGAGGAGATCGGGAGACCCCGTATTGGACCAGACGCTGTTTGGCAGCTCCATTGCCATTACCACTTGTGGGCCATGTTTCAAGGGCAGAGAGAGAGTGGAGCAGGGAGCCCGAGGGGCATTATCACTTGTGGTCCCAAGGGAAAAGGGGCCCTGAGGAGCAGTATCAAATGTCATCCCAAGGTATCAGGGACCTTCCCAGGTAAGGACCGGAATACAGACCAAGAAAGTGGTGACCACACCACCTTGGAAGCACTGAAAACTTCCAGACTCCCAGAAGTAGTTCTGAAAACAGCAGTGCCAAAAAGCCTGAAGCTTGAAAGAGTGTCCCTCCACCCCACATGTTGGGAACAGCCCAACGCTAACATAAAGTTCCACATCAAGAAATAGGGTTGGAAAATGAGCAAATAACAAACAAACAAACATAAAGACCCTGACCATAAAAAACCACTGTGGTGATAGGGAGCTCAGAAGAAGACAGTGGTGTCAAAACAGCTATAAGCAAAGCGTCAAAGGAAAAAAATACAGGAAAAATATGTGACACAAGCCTAACAAGAATTCCTAGAAGAGTTAAAAAATTATTTTCAGAATCAGAGTGATAGGAGGAAAAATTAGGTAAAGAAATGAAAGAAAGGAAGAAAATTATGAAAATACATTGGTAAAAGAGTGGCCAAAAAAAATTCATGAAGAAAAAAAAACCTTAAAAAACCGAATTGGTCCAATGGAAAAAGATACAAAAGCTCACTGAAGAAAATAACACCTTAAAAATTAGAATTGGACAAGTGGAAGCTGACTCCATGAGACATCAAGAAACAGTGAAACAAAGTCAAAAAAATGAAAAAATAGAAGAAAATTGAAATATCTCTTTGGGGAAAACACCTGACCTTGGAAAAATAGATGTAGGCGAGATAATTTAACAGTTTTTGAATTACTTGAAAGCCATAATCAAAGAAAGAGCCTCACATCAGATTTCCAAAAAATAACTAGTTGGAACAATGAACAATTTCATCAGAGTTGCAGGATATATAAGAAACTCACAACAGTATTTCTACATACTGCCAGCCAAACCTAGCAGGAAGCAATAGAAAGAGAAATTTCATTTTAAATAACTGTAGGCAATATAAAATACTTTGAAGCTTGCCTGCCAAGACAAACTTAGGGATGTATGAACACAGTTACAAAACACTTTTTACACAAAGACAGATTCTAAACAAGTGGAGAAATGTTAATTGTTCATGGTGAGGCCAACCCAATATGATAAAAATGACTATTCTACCTAAGTGGATTTACTCATTCAGGTCATAACAGACTTTATAAAGCTAGAAAAAAATAATGAAATTCATCTGGAAGAACAAAAGGTCAAGAATATTAACAGAATCAATGAAAAAATGTGAAGGAAGGTGACTTAGCAGTTCTAGATTTCAAACTAGTATTACAACATGGTAATCCTCAAAACAATCTGGTATTGGCTAATAGAGAGGTAGATCATGAGAATAGGTTAGTACACAAAACACAATAATAAATGACCATACTAATCTAGTAGTTGATGAATCCATAGATGCAAACTCTTGGGGTAAGAACTCAGCACTTGACAGAACATTGCTGGGAAAACTGGGAAGCGGCTTGGCAGAAACGAAGCACAGACCGACATCTCCAACCATGTGCCATCTGTATTTTAACCAGAAGGTTAAAGTGGATGTGATTTGGACATAAAGGGTGACGTCATAAATACATTGAGAACATGAAAAATGTACCTGCCCAATTTATGGATAAAGGAAGCATTTATGACCAAACAAGAGATAAAGGAAATTAGAAGAAGCAAAAGAGATCATTTTGATTACATGACATGAAGAAGCTTTTGCACAGGCAAAAAGTAATATGGCCAGATTTAGAAGGAAAACAAGAAGTTGGTTTTTGAAAATTTGCCACAGGTTTTTCCACTAACGGTCTTATTTCTCAAATACAGAGGGAATTTGGCCAAATTTATAAAAATAAGAACCATTCTTTAGTTGATAAATGGACAGAGGATATAAATCGGCAGTTTTCAGAAGAAGAGATCAAAGCTGTCAGTGGTCACATGAAAAAAAATGCTCTAAATCACCACTGATTAGAGAAACATAAATTAAAACAACTCTGAGATACTACCTCACATCTATGAGACTGGCTAACATGACAAAAAAGGAAAATGATAAATGTTGGAGGAGATATGGAAAAATAAGGACACTAATGCACTGTTGGTGGAGTTGTGAACTGATCCAACCATTCTGGAGAAAAATTTGGAACTATGCCCAAAGGGCTATAAAACTCTACATACCCTCTGACCCAGCAATACCACCACTAGGTCTGTATCCCAAGGACGTCCATAAAAAAGGGAAAAGAAACCATTTGTACAAAACTATTTATAGCAGCTACTTTTGTGGTGGCAGAGATTTTGAAATTGAGGGGATGCCCATTAATTGGGGAATGACTGAATGAGTTGTGGTATGTGATTATAATGAAATACTATTATGCTATAAGAAATGTTGAGCAGGCAGACTTCAGAAAAACCTGGGAAGACATACATGAACTGATGCAAAGTGAAATGAGCAGAGCTGAAGAGAATACTCTTGGCAACAATACTATATGATGGTCAGCTGTGACTGACTTATCTTTTCTCAGTAGTACAGTGATCTAAGACAGTTTCAGAGGACTTATGATGAAAAATGCTGTCCCTCTCCAGAGAAGGAACTGATGGAGTCTGATTGCAGATTGAAGCGCACTCTTTTTGCTTTATTATTCTTGGTCTGTTCGCTGTTGTTTTGGGGGGTTTTGGGTCAGTTTTTCTTCTGTGATGTCGCTAATATGGAAACCTTTTGCATGTGGATTCTATATCAGATGGCTTACCTTCACGAGGAAGGGGGAGGGGGAGAGCCAGGGAGAGAATATGGTACTCAAAATTTAAGAATGAATGTTAAACATTTTTGTTTACATGAAATTGAAAGAAAATAAAAATTAAATGAAAAAAAGTAACTCATATGCCGTATATGGCACATTGCCATCTGAGAGTTTCAATGTCAATTAATAAATTAAGGCTTAATTTAAAAAAAAAATACGATGAGCAGGATGGTTTCTGAAGAAACCTCAAAAGACTTATATGAACGGATACAAAGTGAAGGGAACAGACCAGGAGAACATGGTGCACGATAACAATAGTATAAGGACGATCAGTGTGGAAGACTTGGCCACTCCGATCAAGGCAGTGGTCTAAGGCAATGCTGAAGGACCCGTAGCGAAGGTCTATCCACCTTCAGAGAGAACCAGTGAACTCTGAACCCAACCTGAAGCATGGGTTTTTCTTAACTTTATTTTTGTTGGGGTTTTTGTGTGTGTTTTCTTTTGCAGTGTATGGTAATATATTTGGCATGACCACACATGTATAATCAAAGTCAAAGTGCTTGCTGTCTCAAGGAGAAGGAAGGGGTGGGTGGGAGGGAGAGATTTTGGAGCTCAGTTGTTTTTTTTAAGTGATTAAATGTAATTGAAAAAAACAAAGAGAGATTGCCCTAAGGCACAGTGGTGGGGATCTGCAGCCCGGTGTGCCTGGATGTGGATGTGGATGTGGGGTTGGACCTGCCATTCCCTCTTCCCACCCACACTGATCCTTTCCGCCTTGGGCCCCTGCAGGCAGGGACAAGGAGCACAGTGCTTCTTGTTGACACCAGAATGGGGGTCTGGGCCATGGCTTGGCAAGGGTCTTGGAAACCTAGGCTCTGAGCAGGAGCTGCGGTGACTTGGGGGCCCATGGAGCCCAGCCTGGGCCAGGCTGTGGCTGTGCCAGCCTCTGTTGTCAGGGCTGGGCCTTGCTGCCCAGGTTAAGGCAGATGGAGCCATGCTAGGTTGATGTGATGATGCAGGCTAAGAAGTGGAGATGTCTGTGAAGCTCCCTTCAACTGGAACACTTTCCTCCCTTTTGGGATCACGGCCAGTTGGCAATCTTATGTGTTCTCTCAGTCCTTGTCATGAGCTCCTGGGGTAAATAACTTGGAGCTCAGTGCCCTCGTAACAATTTCTCTTCTGATTTTTTTGGTAAATGGGCCCATTTTCATTCTGTATTAGAAATGCTTTATAAGAGTAAGTGTGAATGTGTATGTGTGTTTGTGTGTGTGTGTGTTATGTTAACTAGAGGAAAAAACAGTTTGCTTCTGGCTTTTTAATAGTGCTTCTGTTACAAAGTATTGTTTGTTTTCCAGATGTCTGTCCGCTAATCTGTGTGGCTTCCCTTTCTTTTATAGTTTGTTTGGATTGCATAAGAAGGTCATCAACATGGTACACAACTTACTGTCCAGCCATGACTCAGACCCGCGGTACTCTGACCCCCAGGTAAAGGCCCGGGTGGCCATGCTCTATCTACCTTTGATCGGCATCATCATGGAAACTGTGCCCCAGCTGTACGATTTCACAGGTATCTGTCACATCGAAGACATTATGTTGTGCATGTTCCTACCAGGGGGAAAGCAAGCAGTTAATTTGTTCTGAAGTTAAGCCTTTCTGTTACTTAAAATCATGCATTGCAGTTTAAGGTGGTCATAGAGATGCATACACGTAGGCCTTGTTTTAAAAGAATCCCTTGTGAAAAGTGCATTTGCCAAAGTGGAAAGTGAGGAGGTGATTTTTCATATGCTATGAAGAGTCTTCACTTTAGAAGTGAAAAGTTTCTTTAAATAGGAATTGAATTTAAAATATCCCATCTAAAATCCCCTTTTGTACCCAAGCACTTCAGAATGCATATATTTGTATCACATGAAAAAATCTGAAAGAAAAACGTCCCAGGTCAGCAAGCCTCTCTCTGTTTAACAGCTAGATCAACAAAATAGCCAAGTAAAAGTGGTTGGCTCTGCTTCTGATCCTGGCGTTAAAGGGCACCCGGAGAGCAGCTCTTTGCGAGGCTCGTTCCAGAACCGTTTGTTTTGCAGCAGCTCTTAGAGTGTTCTTGCCTTGTGCCTTTTATCAGTGATTTCCCTGCCTGCCCTCCCCAGCCCTGAGAAGCAGCTTGGCGTCGTCCAGAGGGCCAGGGTCAGTTCACCCACCCAGAGCTCCCAACACCCAGGAGATCACTGGTCCAGCCCTCAGAGACTTGTGGAGGGAAAGGGAGGTGATATACAGGGTTCTGCCAGCTGAAAACACAGGGCAAATGCCAGCAGTTGTTGTGACTGTCACGTGTTGGGATGGCACCATTGCATTTATGTGAGAGCAGCAGGGGCCTTGGGGCCAAATTCCCACTGGGGTCGCGCCACCACTGGACAGAACTCCCTTCCCCTAAGAGGAGCGCTCTCCTTTCCTCTTCCTGCAGGCTTCCTTTTATCCTCGGTAACTTGAGCTTTGCAGACAGAGCTCCCATAGTAATTAATGCCGCCATGTTCTGTAACACTTGGCATTCTGAGAACGTCCTTTAAAGTGGTAGCAGGAGCAAGGAGGAGGAGGGTAGGGCATAAAGAACCTACATGTGATCCTTGTTTCTTTTGGACTCTCTCCAGAGACTCACAATCAGCGGGGACGGCCGAGCTGTGTGGCAATGGAGGATTATGAAAGTGAGGGTGGAAATATGATAAGCCAGACGGTGGCCATGGCGATCGCCGGCGCGCCGGTCCCCCAGCTTGCGAGGCCCAGCAGCTTTCTGCTCACTTCCTCGGTACAAAAGCATAACCAGGGCTTCTCTTGTGGAAATGCGGGTCTGTGGAGGGACAGAGTAGCCCCTGCTCGGGTGGGCGGTCGGTCTAGCGACCCTGGGAAACGTTTTATGTCGGCCCTGGAGTTAGAAGATTGAGACCTGAGATTTGATGTTGGACAGGCCTGTTTTCAGTTATTTATCAGCTGAAAATACTTATTTAGGGCCTATTCTTTATCAGCTTTGAGATTTTTTTTTATCTGAGTGAGGGAAGTGTGACAAATATCCTTTTAGTTATATAAAGAAATAACTTTTTTATGTTTGAAAAATGATATATTCACTCCAGGCAGTGTTTTCCCCTACTCTTAAAAACAAGGCTAAAGCAGATTTTTAAACCATTTTTCCCTTTAGAGAAAATACAGTAGTATTTACTAAAACTAAACTGTGTTAGGGAGCGGCCCTGTCATTGGTCCAGTCAGGGCTTCTTAAACTCTTTCCACTCTCAACCATGTTTCGTGACTTTTCACGTGTCAGCCGCGTTTGTTGGTGTTACGTGGCCTGAGGCATGTGCAGTGCAAAGTACACATGCTGGACATTCAGAACCCAGGCTGCAGTGAAGTTGTGTGATGCAGTGCAGGCAAGCATTGCCAGAAATGCCTCGCATTCATCACACCTGTGATTTTGTATTCATTTTTGGTTATAGAGCCTTCAGAAACCTTTTACTGTTGCCAAATTTTTCATGACCCCTTATGGGGCTGCGACCCCCAGTTTAAGAAGGGCTGGTGGGCACTGTGCCAGGTGTCAGCAGTGCACGGGTGAAAAGCCATCTCTCCCATCAAGCAATCTAAAGTCTAAGAGGGAAAACATGGCATGTGATCGGATAAGCATGATCCGAGACGTGAGGGACCTGGTCCAGAGGAAAATCCAGGCCCAGTGCTCTCGTGTGTGACTTGGTGCTCATAATGGGGAAAGGGTCGGGGGCGAGGAAGAACAACGCTTAAGGAGACATTAGAAATACACCGGAGAAGATGCAGAAGGCCGCAAGACAAGCAGAAGGGTCGGTCTGCTCTCGTGTTCAGTCCAATACACGCCCTCTTTTGAAAAAACTACAGGCTAGAAGCTTTCAGTTCCTCATGTGGTTCTCTCTCTCCTGTCCTTTGCGTATTAAAATGTTCATTTTTCTGTTAAATTTGTAATAAAAAAGGTAAAAGTCATCAGAGACTTTGCACTTTATACTTTGAAAAAAGCCAGAGAAAGATGAAAATAAACCTGTGTATGGTGACCTTAAGTCGTATACAACTGGAGAGAGAGAAATAAAGAGTTTCCCAAAGCTTCACCCAGACACAGAGGAAGCTTTCTGGGGGTACTTCAGAAGCGCTCTGGAGGCAGCCTTCAGGGTAAACGTACGGAAGCCTGTAGGTGAGGCGGGTGTTTGGGGTGCAGAGGGCGGTGACTAGAGCCAGCCTCTGACACCGGGTGATACCGGTCAGCTGTGGACAGGGCCCCTGTACGCGGTACTGCCATCTCAGTGAAGTGCTGCCTCCTGGTAGGGGCGGAACAGCCAGCTTTTATGAGTGTGAAAACAGCTTTGAGAGGTCAGTGCCTGCACTGCATCCTTGAGTGTAGAAGGCAGGAGGGCCTCGCTTTCTATGGAGGTGCAGTATGACCTAAAGGCAAGAGTAGATTTGGATGCTCCAAACTGTCTGAGAGTCGAGTACAAGCCTCAGGTTGTGATGAGAGAAGTGGCTGAGTTAGCGACCGTGGCCCGGAAGAATCGGAGCTTCTTTTGTTTTTTGTTTTGTTTGTGGTAAGGCGACGGGGTTAAGTGACTTGCCCAGGGTCACACTGCTAGAAAGTGTCAAGTGTCTGAGGTTGGAATTGAACTGAAGCCCTCCAGACTCCAGGGCCAGTGCTGTATCCACTGCGCCACGGCACTGCCCCTTTGTCGGGGGAGGGGCTGCTCCTTTGCCTTTATCCTATCGTCTTTTGCTCGTGGATGAGATGATTATTAGATGTTTGTTCACTTTTTTCATTTACTCTTCAGCTGTTACGAAAGTTGTTGCAGATTGCCTTAAAGAAAGAAAACAAGGCTCCAGCCCGAAATGCTTGCATTCTGAAATGCATGTTGCAGATCCAGATTGTTTCTCCCTTGTGTGGCCCTCTTTGGGGACATGAAATCCGTGGGCCCAAGCCCCCTGGGAAGACTGATGTATTACATTCCTATGGGACCCTCTGAGTAAATGTCATCTAAATCATAGGATTTTTCAGGGTCCATCATACATAGTAGCTTGGGGCATAGGGGATAGAGTGCTGCTCTTGGTGTCCAGAAGACCTGGCTTCGCACAGTGCCTCTGACACCGGCTGTGTGACCCTGGGGAAGTCACTAAACCTCCCACCGCCATTTTGCATTGTCGGTCTCTGACGCTAAGTCTATGGTGCGGTGATGCTCCGGGGGTGTCAGGCGGCTGTCTCAAGAATCTCAGTTTTAGACGGGTCTCCATCTGTGGCTGGTAGAGGAAGGTCCCACCCAGGAAGTTTCCACGCTGATGGAATCACAGGACCTGTACTTACTTGTATTAGTGCACTTCACTAATCAGAACTTAATCTGGGAGAAGGCAACAGTGAGCTGCGTCTGTCCTCACGGTCCTTCCCTCTCTCCTTGCTTTCAGACGGGCCGGCAGCACTCCATGTTTTCCGCAGAATCAAGCAGGAGCCTTCTGATCTGCCTGCTCTGGGTCCTCAAGAACGCAGACGAGACCGTCCTGCAGAAGTGGTTCACGGACCTCTCGGTCCTGCAGCTTAACCGCCTTCTGGACCTGCTCTACCTCTGCGTGTCCTGCTTCGAGTACAAGGTAGGTGGGGAGCGTGCTGCTCTGGGCGCATTGTGCGAGCAGGAAGAGGAGCTTCCTTCTCCAGCATACCCCCGTTGTGTTGTGCTTCCATTTTAGGGGAAGAAAGTCTTTGAAAGGATGAATAGTTTGACCTTTAAGAAATCAAAGGACATGAGAGCCAAGCTGGAAGAGGCCATCCTTGGAAGCATCGGAGCCAGGCAAGAAATGGTGCGTCGCAGCCGAGGGCAGCTTGGTAGGTAGCCTGGCGCTCCCCTGCCGGGAGGGTCTGCACCGACATCCCGAAGGGGGTCTGCAGAGCATCTCTCTTGAACATCCATCTTTGCATCATAGTTTAGATAGGAACCCTGGATTGAAGCAAAGGAAAATTTAGATTTGCAAACATATAGCTATGAGTATGTATGTACAGTGTTATGAGTGAATGAAAAAAACACTCATTAGATGCTGACTGTGTACCAAGCATAGTGCTGAGTGCTGGGAATAAAATAGAAGAAAGCAAGGCAGAAAAAAGGCCCAGACACTGGGGGAAACAACAAAATTGACCTTCAGGACAGGCGGACAGTACTGGCGCCCCGAGAGTGCCTTGTTGGGTCGGATGGCAAGGCCCGGGGTCCTCCATCTCCCTGGAAGGCATAGAGTCAATGGTTCCTGTGTTCCTATAGCCATGTGGGCTCCCCACGGTCAAGGGTAGGGGCAGAGGGGGAAGTTGGCTCCCTGGGATGGTGGGCCTTCTCTGTATGTGGCCATCCCAGATAGGGAAGTACTCCCCCAGACAGTGTCAATGTGAGGCCAATAATGGGGGGTAGGGTGTTATTAGTAATTTCGCTCGTGTCCAACCCTTCATGACCCCATTTAGGATTTTCTTGGCAGACCTACTGCCAAGTATCAAGTGGTTTGCCATTTCCTTCTCCAGCTCATTTGACAGAGGAGGAAACTGAGGCAAACAGGGTAAGGTGACTAGGAAATGTCAGAGACAGGATTTGAACTCAGGGAGATGACTCCAGACCCTGGGCTCTGTGCACTGTGGCGCCGCCTAGCTGCCCAATGGAGAGACTACCTCTGTAGAAATTCAAGTTTATTGTCATTTGCTGACAGTGAAGGTAGGAAACTGTTCACATAGAGACAAGTCCAACGGATTACAGAAAGGAAGGATTGTTGCAAAGACCCGCAGCCCCCCCAGCCCTCCTCCCCCAGCAGACTCCCGCAGCTCCCCGCTGCCTCCGCGGTCCTCAGTCCTGCTTTCCATCCCTTTTTGTTGCCGTGTGTCTTATGCCCTACGGGCACCAGTCCATCCTGCTGATGTGCCCTTCTGGCTTCTGCTCATACCCAGCGCTCAGTCTGCCATCTGTGTGCCCCAGCTCTGGCACACATCCTGCCTCACCGCCACCTCTCAGAAGCCCTCGTTGTCACCCAGATTTAGCTCCAGCGCCTGCTAGGTGGGGCCCTTTCTGACCCATCCAGCTTGCCCCCTCCCATTACCCGGTATTTATGTGATATGGGATTTATGTGTGTGAAATACCAATTTACGTGCCCTCATTGTCTCCTGAGAGAAGACTGCTCGTTTTTTGTCTTGAGTTCCCAGTGCCCTGCACAGAGGTTGGCACATAGCAGGTCTTCATACATGCTTACTAATTAGATTGATTGCCATGTGCATATGTATTTCTTTGGCTGGCTTTCTTCCTTAGTATTGGCAACTTGCAGGATTTTTCCTCATGCATTTTTCTGCTGGATTTGGCTGTTTCAGTATTTTTCCCCATTGATAGATCTTTGATACAGTCTTTTGAATTCTCTGCCTCCTCATTTCCCCAGTCTGCCCCCACCAAAGGTAGTGATTGCATCTTCTCATAAAAGGGACTTTTCTGTCCTAGCAAGGGGACAAAAACCAGGGCTCATTCCCCTCCTCAGTTTACTGCGTGGGCAGAGTCATTTCTTGTGGACGGGCTCCCCGCTCCCAAAATGTCCTGATCCCTTCTGGGGAAGAAAGGGAAGCCTAACACCACCCCCCAATATGTCCCAAGACCCGGCCTTCACCTTGAGCAGTACATGGGAAGCCCTTCCTTGGTGCCAGCACTGAGCACTGGGTTGGCGCTGGAAGAGAAAAGAAGTCTAGTAAATTAGACGGGCTCCCTTTGCTCACGGAGCTCAGTCCACTAGGATGATGTGAGTCCTCCCCAAATAACTAACAGAATACATCCCAGAGAGGAGGTGAGCGATTACCCACCAAGATCTCCAGAGGGATCATCAAGGAAGGCTTCCTTGAGGTGGTGGCCTTGGCGCTGGACACTAAAGGGCTCATGGAGGTCACAAAAAGGAAGCTGCCCTCCCAGCTCCCCTGGGTTCAGGTGTCACCTGCCAGACTCCTTAGCCTGTAGAGCCGACCATCATCTCCGTCCTGAGCGCTAGGCCCCTGGGCATCCAGACGCCTGGACCTGCCCTGCCTATGCTTATCTCAAGCTAGTGTCCCAGTAGGACCAAAGTGGGACCCATTTTCCTGGCCCTTCCTGTAGCATGTAATGCTTCCTCTTGACCCCTTGTCCTTTGGGGCAGCTAGACCATCTTTGGCTCAAGCCTCTTGTTGCCTTACATGGAATAGGGGCTTGACATTCGCTGATTGGATTGGATCCGCTCTGCTTTCCTAACCCTCCATTCACCTAGATCTCCTTCTTATCTGTGCCACCAAGATCCAGCCTGGGGCCCTCTGTCCTCCCTCTGACCCTCTTACCATCTACACTCACGGAGTCTCATTCAGAAGAGACCCAGGTGCTACAGGATCCGGCCAGGCCTGCCTGAGGCCCGTCTTATAGCAGTAGCCGGCCTTTATGTAGGGTTTTGAAGTTTGTGAACGTCTCTGTGCCTGGCTTCCTGTGAACCTCACAACTCCCCTTGGAGAAAGGTATTGTTCTCTCCATTTCACAGATGAGAGAACAGAGGCTGAGAGGTTGGTCACTCAGTTGGTCAGCAAGCATCTCTTAAGTGCCTGCTGTATACCGGGAGCTGTGTTAGTGCCTGGCCCGAGGAGCTCACAGTCCTTGTGGGGAGACAACAGGCAAACAGTGATGTACAAGCAAGCTCTGTAGGGGAAAAATAGGAGATGATGAACAGAGGGAAGGCGCTGAAATTAGGGGAATCGGTAAAGGTCTCCTGCAGAAGGGGGAATTCTACCCAAGAAACAGGCTATTTTAAATGTACTTCACAGATTCTGAGAGGAGAGAGCTTAATACCAAAAAAGAGCCTTACCTTGTTCTGAAGGACCCTTAATTACTATGAATTGCTGTAAGTTACTAGGCACCTGTGATAACTTTCCTAAGAATTTAAATATTAAACTGTCCAATTATTAGAGTTTGGCCTGGTCTAGATAATTTGACCAAGGGTGTCTTACATGCCATGTTTTATCACCTTGGCAGCTAAATGCCGGATGGAGACGATAGTGTAAACTATTTGTTGTTGGGTGGGTGGGTATCTGTCCTTTGGAGTGGCTGTACACTGCTGTGCTTCTGACACCAACCATGGAGACGAGACGTGCTTCAGATGATATTTTAGAAACATCATAGTCCTTCCGACTCCCCCCAGTATAGCTAAGGAAGCAACAAGTCTGTACCGAAGGCCTGCTCTGTAGCCATCACTTCCCAGGGCTGCAGGGGGGACACAAGGAGAAGTGTTAGATCCCCACGCAAGGTTGAGTCCACTTAACCAAAAGTTGGTCAAGATGTGTTGCTGTAAAACGCTGTGACTCACAAAATTTGTCGCATTTTGTTCTTTAAAAGTTAAACTGCAGGGAAGTGAGGGAGAGAGAGAAAGGAGGGCAGACGAGGAGAAGGGATATTCAGAATGCATGCCATCTTGGGGTGGGGGGAGGGGTGAGATGGGGTGAAAATTTGGAACTCAACATCTTGTGGAAATAAATATTGAAAGCTAAAAATAAATAAATTTTTAAAAATAAAATAAAAGTTAAACTGCATTTCGCATGGGTATAGAGGTGGTTTTTAACTGTCATGATGATGGGTGTTTGAGCAGAGCTTTTGAACATGGAACTCTGAGTAAAAAGAATTTTCTAGGGCAGGAATTTTGTATGTCTGCAAACAAACATGTGCTTGGTTCAGAGGGAAATCACCTTTACGGATTGGTTCTTCCTTTCACTTGGCAGAGAGAAGCCCCTCAGGAAGCGCCTTCGGAAGCCAGGAAAACCTGCGGTGGAGAAAGGACATGACTCACTGGCGCCAGAACACGGAGAAATTGGACAAGTAATAGAGCCTTGTCTTCTCGTGCTACTGGTGGGCCAATCATGTGACAAGCGCGCCAGGAACGTGATGAATTTGGCGGACGTTGCTTTAGAGGCGTTTAATTTTCTGCCATTTCCATTTTGCAGGAAGCCTTGGAGGAAGGGGAAAAAATTTACTTTGTCAGTAACCCCCAACCTCTGTTATTTTAAAGTAAATAAGTTGAGGAGAGATGGCAGAGCTAGAGGAAGCCAGCCTGACAGCCCTGAAACCTGGTCCCGAGGCCTCTCTGGCCGCATGTGGCTGGGCCGCTATGGACCAGTGCCCTGGGCAGCTCTCTACCTCTTAGGTCACAGGAATGCTGGTCTGTGGGTGAGATCATGGGTCTTGTCCTAGCAAAACTGCAGGGAATGTCTGTACCTCTAGATGTAGGTAGATTTTCCCTTGCACTCTCATCCAAAATCCATCAGTTCTGCACGTATTTACTCAGTGTACTGTGAGCCTCGTTCTCCTCTGGGCACCTGAAGTGTCCCCCCAATTCTCAAGGACTTTGAGATCTGGGAGATGAGGGCCCAGCCACACAGAGCCCAGGGAGACCCGGGTGAGTTAGAGGGAGCTAGTGCTGCTCACACGCAGAGAACGGGATTCACAGGCTGTGGCAATGGCAGCGGGCAGGGATAGACGCATGGGCATGGTGGTGGCTGAGCTGAGTCCAGTGGGGCGGGCTCTGAAGACACAGAGAGAAGGGCGAAGGCCCTATTCTAGGAAGGCAGCAGTGGGAGAAAAATCCTGAGAGTGAATCTGTGGGTGGGGTGTGCCGAGACGCCACTTTGGAGGCTCTCCTGGGGAGGAGTGATTGGTGGGTAGTGGAGGGCCTTGGATGTTGGCGTGAGCGGTCTGTATGTACTTCTGTGGGCTGTAGGGAGCAGCCTCTTCAGGGGTCACCGAAGTATGTTCAGATTTTTAGGTGTTCCATCTTGATTGAAGTCGGTACTCAGGTCTGAAAACCAAGGACTTAGTACCTGTAAACAGAGATGCTCTGCTTAGAGAGAATGGCCTAGCAAGTGTAGGATGAAATCAGAGAGAATCCTTATCTGAAAAAATGAAAAAATATCAATAGACTTGTTGCCCAAATACTAGTTACATACAATTCCACAAAAACTTGAGTAGTGCTAACAAAAACAGAAGCACATTCCTGTGTCCGGGTCCCACTCTGATGCCCCATTGTGATGTGGAGGTGATTCTGGCTTTTTGAAGCCTCCAGTGGCCTAGAGCAAATCCTGCCAGGGTGTGTCCTTCCCACTTGGAAGCCTCCAAACCGATCATCCCTGCTGCCCAAGGACCATCCTGGTACAGAGATGCTCAGCCCCAAGGGCCAAGAAGCCTCCAAACTGATCATCCCCACTGTCCAAGGACCATCCTGGTACAGAGATGCTCAGCCCCAAGGGCCAAGAAGCCTCCAAACCGATCATCCGCACTGTCCAAGGACCATCTTGGTGCAGAGATGCTCAGCCCCAGGAGGCCAGGAAGCCTCCAAACCGATCATCCCCGCTGCCCGAGGACCATCTTGGTGCAGAGATGCTCAGCCCCAGGAGGCCAGGAAGCCTCCAAACCGATCATCCCCGCTGCCCGAGGACCGTCTTGGTGCAGAGATGCTCAGCCCCAGGAGGCCAGGAAGCCTCCAAACCGATCATCCCTGCTGCCCGAGGACCATCTTGGTGCAAAGATGCTGAGCCCCAAGAGGCCAGGAAGGCTCTAATTGAAGGTCTGATTCTGAATTCTTTTACTGAGATTAAAAATATCCTGAAAAAAGAATAGAGGATCTGGGAGCAAGCCTGGGCAACCGGAATGGAGCAGGAGGATGAGAATAGACCAGATTGTCTTTGGGAAACTGCACTTCTCATGATCCCAAGCTTCTCCATGACACAGGGTCTGTCTCTTTAATCCCATTATTCTTCGGTGGGTGTTATATGCCTGTGAGTCATGGAAGGGGAGGGTTCCTGAAAAATCCAAATTGTGGGTCTCCCCAGGGTTGTTGGAGAGGTCTTGATGGCCTGAGCAGGTCACAGTCCCTTAGGAGAAGTGGCATAAAGGATGTCTCCAAAGAAAACAGGATAGAAGGATACAGCTGTTGGTCAAGTGGGGAGAGGAAGGGGTGGAGAGCCCCCAGGCCTCACGACCCGGGCCTCAAGAGCATTCATGGATGGGCTGCAGAGGAAGGTTGTCCTCTGACTCACGGGAGTGAATGCCTGCATTGTTGAGATTGGGACACTGGCTTTAGTAGAAGTGCTGGCCTTCAAGTCTCTGGGCTGGAATCTAAAGCCTAGTTCTGCTACGTGGGGCAAGTCAGCTCATCTCTCTTGGCCCAGGTGATCTCAGAGGTCTGGGCAGCTCCGAGTCCAAGACCTTCCCAGTGCATTCCTTAAACGCAGTCACCTCTGAGTTGTATCATTGGTCTCTGAGCAGCCTGATGCTGTAATCTCCTGGGTACAGCATGTCCTGGACAGAAGAGCCCTCTGTTTGTGGTCAGAATAATAATAGTAATGAGAATGATGAGAATGAGGCGGAGGAGAAGATAATCCTTCAATGTTTCCTATGCTGTACTGAAAGTGTATCATTTGCCCTAATAACAAATCTGCATTAAGGTCCACTCTCGGGCAGTTCTGAATCTTAGCAAGTTTTCACTTCAGTCCCGCCTAAGTCAGTCTCACCAGAACATAGCCATTGCCCTTCCTGATCACTGACGTGAGGCTGGTGAAACATGAGGGGCCACCACGGGCCTGCGCAGAGGCAGGTGTGGGGGGCACCGGCTCAGGCCAGTGGGGTTTGTTCCTGGCCAGATCCTCATCCCCTGCACCCCCAACCTGTGGTCCCAAGCATCCTCTAAAAAACACGCCCTGGACCTTAGTGGTTTATTGTTTGTTTACTTTACAAAAGCCATACCTCCCCGGCCATCCTTCCCCCTCGGCGGACGCTGCCAACCACGGCTTACTCTGGGTGGGCTTAGCGCTGGCCTCTTCAGTGTTCACACTGGGCTCTTGGCTTCTCCTTGGATGTCTGCGTTCTTATCGGTCACTCCAGCAGCTGTCCCCTTTCCTCCTCATTGCAGTCATTACTGTTTGAATCTTCAGAATTTTATTATGGAGAAGTGCAGACCTTGTGGCCAGCCAACATTAAATCATTGGGTTCTACTTATCTGTTGTCTTTGAGACATGTGCGTCTTAGCATAGGCTCGTCTCCTTTCCTGTCATGAATTCTATGATGGACTAGATGGCTATCCCTAGTTCCTCTCATTTCTAGTTAATTAGCCAATGTCCTTATGGTCAAAACCAGGCCCAGAATAATGGCTCCCCTGGTCACTTATTTCACCTTTTGAAAGATTTTTTTAAATTATCATATAACAAATTACAAATTGATTAGCTGACCCTCACACGCACTCTGGAATGTGCCCCAGTAGTTATCCTATTACCGCAATATCATGCTTCTGTGTCAGTCTGTGATCTATTTCCCAAGCTCCTCATCTGATTTTTCTTTCCACCCAAGGGGTCACCCCCAACACCATTGCTTCTGCTTCTCCCTTCTTTGAGCCACATTCAGGATTTACTCCATCGTGCTTTCCCATGCTGGCCTGGAAGTACTCCTCAGTTCAGTTCAGCTCAGAGAAAATCTTCCTCATGCACACTTTTAGTCCACACACCCTCTTTCTGTCTCGGGTTCTGTTCAGTAAGGTTCATCCTTCCAAAGCCTTACCACGGTACTGAGAAGTCTCAGTAGCGACTGCAAAGTGACCTTTGCCCCCTTGTATTCTGACATCTGGTTCTCTGTTTTTCGTAGCCTTTGTGCGCTTTGTTGCTGGTTGTCTTGGATTCTCTCATGAATTCTTTGCCTTTCTGCTGTTTTTCTGGGTCCCTGTTCACCATGCTCACTTCAGTATCAAGCTTGATCCATGGGGCAGTTTTCCTGGACCAGATCCTTGGAGGCGAGTTTCTTCCCTCCATTCCATTTTTGCTTTGAAACATGAAACGTTCATGTTTTTGCCAGTTCAATACAGTAGACTTTTATCAGGCTTTGTTAGAGCGGACATCTTACAAGTCAAGAAATGGAAGCCTAGAGAGGCTGAGTGATTTACCCCAGATCACAGCCAATAGGAGGTGAGAAAATGGACAAAACAGGCTGTCACTAGAGGCTACAAGAGGTCAGTGATGGTTCTTTTCAGCTCTCACCACGTGTGAGGACGGGTTCAAGAAGGATGTTGTCAGGAGAACTAGAGAATGCTGGAAGGGAAGGGGATAATGGTAGGAGTAAGACCCCTTAGAAAGCAGGCAAGGAACAGGATGTGGAACATAGCAAGGAGAGGAGCGGTCTCTTGTCCTCTCAAAATGAAGGGAAGAATAAGAAAAAGGACGTCATAACAGAAGGTCGAGTAAAGAGAACCATCGCTTCCTTGGTTGTCTTCATAAGGAGCATTTTCACAAACATCATCATGATTTGGGGCTTGACGAGAGAAGGAGATTCAGGAAGGCCGTGGCGTAGCGTGCCCTAAAAACACATGACGCAAAAGAAGGAAGGAGTCTCAGAGAATAATGTCAAGGTCCCAGTGAAACTGGGCTTAGTGAATGTAGGCCAACCAGAGCTGCCTCTGTGATGTGAACAGAGATTAAGGATTGAAAATCCCCCCACTGGAACATGTGAAGAATCTCAGGTCCCCCATTTCAAGATAAAAATCAGGAGGAAAAGAGAGTATTTTCAGGACCCAGCAGACAGGATCTCTTGGTGCAGCAGAGCCAAACTTAGTATTGCCTGAGGCTGGGGCCCCATAGAGCTAAGTAGTACGCTTCTTCATTGTCCATGGCCTTCTGTCAAGTCCATAAAGAGTCGAACTGAGCCCTCAGTCCAGGGTAGAAGGGAACTTATCCCAAAACCCAACTTAGCGTTCGCAGAATCCTAGAATTTAGAGTTGGAAGGAGGCCCAGGGGCCATTTCATTCAGCTTGTCCCCAAAGGGCCCCCTCCCATGACAAATGTGACAGGTGGTCATCCAGACCAGTGGGGGGGAGGGGCGCTACCCCCCTCCGAGGTAAAGGGCTCTAGTTCTTGGGAGGTTTTTTCCTAACCATAAACCTGGAAAAAGCTGCTAAAGCAGAGAACTCATCGAAGACTAAAATCTGTCACTTTGAAGCACAAAAGCATGTGCTGAATTTTTCCATCCTTTAGTAACTCACAAGCTCAGAATTGTGTGGAATGGGTTGCCATCTCTGGTGGGATGGATACCCATGTGTGTACGAGTGCTCTGGATTATTAACAGTGTTAAAAACTCCTAAAAGATGTGAAGTAAGTTACTACCCTGTCAGTGCAGGTTGGGGGTGACCTAAGAAACATACTTTTATAGGCTAATTAATACGAACTATGGATACTCTTCCAGTCCGCACTGTTACAGAGGGAGAGTCAGAGAGGGTTTTAAATGGGGCACTGTGGTTAAGGTCTAAGCACACAGACCAGACTTAATCAGGGAGTAAATGATGGTGTGAAAGCTGCCTGCCATCACTTCCCTTATTTATTTATTTTTTAGCTGATTCTCGAAGCCTGAACGCTCTTCGTCCTCCACTCTGTCTGTCCTGGTCCCTCCCTCTGGTTTCTCCTCAGTGCCTTGCTTTGTAGAAACCGCCACACCCGAGGCCCCCGGCTTTGGCATCCCTGCTTTATTTCTGCATTCACTTTGCTGGGTTTGGAGGAAACAGTTTTGATTTTTAACTGAAGGCAGCAAGTTTTACATTTCTTTTCATGAGGCTCCGCACTGGAAGGTTTAAACATTGCTGTGATGTGTGGCATATTTTCCTGTTTTGTCAAGATAATCATTTAGGCTCCTTAACTCTAATATTTCATTGACTGTCCTTCCTTTGCTGAGTAAGTATGGACATAATAGTGATGATAGGGTGAATGAGAATTTGTAGACTTTTAAGTGGGAGTTTTAGGAATTAGCCATCGTAGTGTCAGCATCCTTTCCTCTTGTATCTGTGCATCTGTCCTGTGTGCAGTTGTTAGCCTTTGCTATCACAACACAAATATTTACCCACAATTGTACTCGGTGTTATACTTAGCATTTTTATAGTAACAAAAATCATTTGTGAGAATGGAGATGGAAAATGCCTTCATTGCATTAAGGTGGATTGTTGCTGGTTCATAGTTCTCACTGAAGACTTAAGTTATCACCTGCAATTAGATGTGCCAGACTTTCTGGGGAAATAGATGCAGCTTTAGAGAAAATAAGTACTTTTATCCCAAAGAAACATGTTGAAAATCCTTGGAATGGTAATAAGCCTGTTCCGAGGCAGGCCATTTGGGAACGCTGCACACGAGAGCCCCTGGCACTTCCTTCAGATGGTGCCGGGTGAAAGGACTGTGAAGGCCCTTCCCATGCGGGCATGACCTTTCCCCTGTGCCTGCTGCCTGGCGCTGGCCTGGGGGGAGCAGGGAAAGCTGGGGTCCCCAGCAGACTTCTCCTTGTGCCGTATCTCTTCCCCTTTCTCTTTTTCGTATACTATATTTTACAATTTTGGTGGTTCGTTTTTGAGAGATTTGTTGAAATGTACTTTTATGGGGTTTTTTTTGAACATTTAGATGTAATTAACTTTAATACTTTATTTCATTAGGTCAAGGGCAGAGATTGAGCATGAAGCTCTTATTGATGGAAACCTTGCAACGGAAGCAAACTTAATAATTCTGGATACATTAGAAATAATCGTGCAGGTAAATGTCACCAAGAGGTAAGAATGAAATTGTAGTCTCAGAATGGGCAAAATTCAGAAAGATGCTGACCTGTTTCATGGAATCTCAGAGGTGGAAAAGACTCCCTGGTTCCTTGGTAATTCCCCATGCAAGGTCGCTGAGGAGTGGCCATGCTGCCACCTTGCCTCCCAGGGAGAGAGACGTACTGTTTTCTGAAGTGGCTGGTTCTGACCTGGGGCAGATCTCATTCTTTGGAAAGTCTTCCTAATTAGGAAGTGACCTCTGCCCTCCAGGACTTCTGCCCAGCTTGCCCTCCCTGGCCTCTGCTGCTCTGTCCACAGGACAGCCAAAATCTGAAGCCTCCCAGTTATTGATCCTCAGAGCTCCATGAATGTACTTCCAGCTGAACGCCATGCAGCAGAAATAAAGATTTCTATATAGAAACGTGCGTGTGTGTGTGTGTGTGTGTGTGTGTGTGTGTGCACGCATGTGTGTGTGGCGAATCTGTGGGTGATAGACCTAGCACGGTAGAAGAAAGTCTCCAAAAGCCCCAAGTAGAATGATGCCCCATAGGTGGGAAGGAGTTTGAGCACCTTCATGGGAGCTCCCCAGACCCTGTGCCCTTGAGCCCCTTTTTGGTAGCTGGTGCAGCGTTGAGTCCCTGCATAGCGGTTCTGATGGGGCCATCCACCGTCTCCTCCTGAAGCTCCACAGGAGAGGGAGGCCAGCGCTTCTGTGGCGGCCTGTTCCGCTCTAGGTGGCTTTAGTCGTTTGGTTTTTCCCACGTTCAGCCCACACTTGCCCTTTTCCAGCTTGGCCCCATTGCTTCTATTCTGTCCTCTGGGGCCACGCAGAGTGCCATTGAGTGTCCTGGGGCCCTTCCCCAGTCTGGTGCTCTCCTGCTGACCCTCTCTGATTTCTCAACGTCCTTCCCAGGCTGGGCCGGGGCTGCTCCAGCTGCGATGTCATCCAGGCACGCAGCAATGGGGCTTTCACTGCCCTGCCTCTGGCCGAGGATCTCCCACTGGCCTTGCTGTCCCTGGCGTCCTCCTTGCCGACATCTCTGCCCTTTGGGCTCTGTGCCTCACAGGGTGCCTTCCCTCCCAGGGGCAGTTGGGGCATCAGGGGCCAGAGCGTGTCTTTGGTTGGGCGTGGGGCTCAGTTTCCTTGGCCGGAAGGGAGAGCTCATTCCAGGGTGTGGAGGGGCCGAAGAAACAGGCAGTGTCCCGTGGGGGCTGGAGCTCTTGCACTAGTGTCTGGGTGAGCCCTGGATGTCTCCACACCACGGCTTCATTCCTGTATTTCAGACGGTTTCCCTGGCGGAATCCAAGGAGAGTATCCTGGGTGGGGTGCTGAAGGTGCTCCTGCACAGCATGGCCTGCCACCAGAGCGCCCTCTACCTGCAGCACTGCTTCGCCACACAGCGAGCCCTGGTCTCCAAGGTGGGCGGCCCGGCACCATGTTCAGGGAACTGTTTCTCATGGATGGGGGGTGTGGGGGACGGGGACTGGCGGCCTCCGGGGCCTTGTTCACTGCCGGCCCCCGTTGTCCTCCCGCCCCTGGCTTCAGGACCTTGTCCTGTCCATGCCAGCGTGCTGAAGGGATTCCTTTTATGGGGGTGATGGGAGTCCCATGGCAGCTTTTAAGGGTAGAAGAGATTGAGATTAATGGCTCAATTTAACTCCAGGTTTCTTGGGTATTGTCCTTCCATTTTCCCATTCCCCATTAGCAGACCAGCTTTTAAAGTGGGCTCTGTGGCTGGGGCGCTGAGGGGTCCGTGAACTTGGATGGGCAAACAGATTACCTCCTTCTTACATCTCTGAACTCTAGCTGAAGTTTAGCCTTTCCTGCGTTTACACACATGTTTCAAAACCCATTCCTCGGACCAGGGGTTCCTTGGTGTCACCCGCCCTGCCAGGCGGGCCCGGGAACCGCTGAAGGTTTAAAGCCCCAAACTGGATGCCCCAAGGCCTCTTCTAGGGAAGCAGGGCCTCTTTCCTTCCTGCTGTGTGTTGTGTTTCCCTGGGGGCATCGTCAGGATGGAGGGGGCCACTGGCACATTTCCTCCACGGGAGGGCCGCTTTCTGGAGCCTCTGTTGCCCTCCCCAGTTACGGTCTTGTTTCCTGACAGTTCCCCGAGCTGCTCTTTGAGGAGGAGACAGAGCAGTGTGCGGACCTGTGCCTACGGCTCCTGCGTCACTGCAGCAGCAGCGTTGGCTCCATCCGTTCCCACGCCAGCGCTTCCCTTTACCTCCTGATGAGGCAGAACTTCGAGATCGGCAATGTGAGCCCCGCCACTGGGGGGGAAACGGAGGCCCTTTCTGGGGCTCACTAGGGAGGCCAGCAGGGAAATCCCACAGGGGAGAGCCCTCTCACGCTCTGTCTCCTCACTGCCCACTCGCCTCCCCTTTAGCTGGTGGCTGTGGCTGTGGTGGAGGCAGGCGCTGATGCCCGTAGGCTCCTCTTGGTCCGTTGGACCCCAAGCACTGATTTAAGCAACATTTGACCCCGTCTCCCATTTCAGCTGCCTCGGTCTCCCCACTCTCCCCGGAGGAGGCAGCGTGGCCAGGTAGGCCGGATGCTGGGCTGGAGATCAGAGAGTTCTGAGTTAGAATCTCGGTGCACTTCCTTGGTAGCTGTGGACAGGTGTACAAGCCCCTCTGAGCCTCAGTTAATGCCAGTGTGTAAACGTGAGCTCTCATTCTCGTGAAGGTTGCCCCCTCTCTTTCTGTCCAGTGAAAACCTTGATCACGCCCCAGAGCGGTGGGGTGGCCTTTCAGCCCCAAAACTGCTCGGCAACACGTTTTTCAGGTGCCCGAGACGTCTGCGTGTCCAGGTCAGCATGGGTAGGAGCTGGTACCTTTGCTCTGTCCCAGGTTTCTGTGGCCTTTTCTGGGGTGAGAAGGAAACCGTGATCGAGAAGAGGAGATGCTCCAGTTTGGAGCAAGCCTCCCTCCTCTGGCCCCCCACTGCCCGTCTGCTTGTGCTCTTGACCCCCAGCCCTGGGGCTTCTCGAGGTTTTCTTATAGCCTAGAAGACTTGGTGTTCTAAAATAAGTGAGGCGGGCGGCGTAGAGGGAAGAGCCCTGGCTCCGCAGGCACAGACCCCACGTTCAAACCCTGGCTCACCACTTGGGTGACTTTGGGCGGTCACCTGCCTGTGCCTCAGTATCCCTGTCAGTGAAATGGAGGAGTTGGGTCAGGGGAGCTCCAAACTTGTAGATTAGTCAATTACTTGTGTCCAGGGTTTTCTTGGCAGAGACACTGGAGCGGTTGGCCATTTCCTTCTCCAGCTCATTGTACAGATAAGGAAACTGAGGCAAACAAGGTTAAGTGACTTGCCCAAGGTCACACAGCTAGTAAGTGTCTGAGGGCAGATTTGAACTCAGATCTTCCTGACTCCAAGCTCAGCACTCTCTGCACCATGGCGCCACCTAGTTTCACCTGCTTGTGGTAGCTCTAGAGCCATGCCTCTGCCCACCTCTGATTCTAATTTAAAAAATAGTAAAAAGCTACTAAAAACTGGCCGTGACACATGAAGGAGAGATTGCGGGCGGCCCGACAGGCATGTTGTGTCAGCTGGGATGGGGAGGCAGAGAAAAGAGCCACGAGAGGAATGGGGGGAGGGGTCAGTCAGGCCATCGGCCAGTGTCCGTGAGCGCTGTCTGGCCTGGTACCGGGCCGCGGTCACGGCTGAACACTCTGCACTCACGTGTACGTGGTGGTGTACGTGTGAGCGCGAGCACAGATGACTGTGTGTGTGCGCGTGTCCCCTGAGGCCTGGGCAGGGCCCCGGTCTCCCAGCTGTGTCCGCTCCTCCAAAGCTGGGCCCCTGTCCGCTTTTGTCCCGCGGCAGAATTTTGCCCGTGTGAAGATGCAGGTCACCATGTCGCTATCATCCCTGGTGGGCACCTCGCAGAGCTTTAACGAGGAGTTCCTGCGGCGCTCCTTGAAGACCATCCTGACGTACGCTGAGGAAGACCTGGAGCTGCGGGAGACGACGTTCCCGGACCAGGTCAGCAGCCGAAGGACCACCAGGGCCTGGGGACGGCCCGGCTCCGGGCCTGGTCCCCACGCAGGTCGCTGAAATGCCATCTGGGCAGCGTCTAGACCCGCTGGGGCTTAGTATGGGGAGGCCCTGGGGAGCAGGGAGTGATCAGCGCAGCCGCCAGAGAAGGCCTCCCTCACGCGGTTTCTGGGCTGCAGGTGCAGGACCTTGTCTTCAATCTCCACATGATCCTTTCTGACACGGTGAAGATGAAGGAGCACCAGGAAGACCCCGAGATGCTCATTGACCTGATGTACAGGTAGGGCCATCTTGGCTGTGGCCGGGGTGGGGCGTTGGCCCCCGAACCCCAGACCCAGGCCCTAAGACAAGCGCATTGTGCAGCCTTAGTGCGCGCTATCAGCGGCTGTGACTTCCCCGTCTCCCAGCATCCCTGAGGAGGACGTGGGCTCCCTTCTCGCCCAACCCCACAGCTCCCGCTCGTCTCCTCCCACCATCTCATCTTCCCGCCGTGGCCTATGGGACAGGTAGCAAAGAGCCCCCTTGCCCATCCTGCAGATTACAGGATCATTGGCCTCAGAAGGCCCCTCGTCCAGCCTCCCTCATTCCCCCACCTCACCTCAGAGGGCATCACTTGTCCAGGGTGCCAAAGCCATTGTCACAGCCACGTCCAGTGGGACTCGGTTTTCCTTGGTGTTGGTGTTTTTGCCCAGACACCCCCTGGGGATGCTGCTTTTTTAGTTACTTTTGTTCAGAGATCTGGAAGCTTCCTCAGGGATGCCAGGAAAGCCCTTTCTGACCGTTCACGTGGCACACACAGCGATGGCGGCTCCCCTTTCTTTTCCCCTTATCTCCTAACATATCAGACTTCATCCCTCCTTAACAAAGTGGTCAGTCAGTTGACAGTTGTTAAGTGCCTACTATGTGCCAGGCACAGCGCCACATTCTGGGGATACAAAAGAAGGCAGAGATAGTCCCTGCCCTTGAGGAGTTTACAGTCTTATGGGGGGAAACAGCAGACAAGCAGACAAGCAGCTCTGATGAGACCAGCTCTCGGCAGCAGAGGGCAGCGGGGATGGGGAGGACCGTGGAGAAAGGACGTGAAGCAAGCCAGGGGGTCAGTGGTCGGAGTCTGCCCGGCGTGGGGGATGGCCAGGGGAGTGGCCGGCTTTTTCCTTCTCTGCACACCGTGGGGGTGTCCCACTTTCCCAGGAAAGCTTTGGCGGGAGCTGGGCCTCTCTGGGGGCCTGGACGGGGACCATTTCACATCTCCCGAAGGCTCTGCAAGGAGGTGGCAGGCCTCCATTCGGCCCTGTGACCTGAGCCGGCTCGGCGGTGTTTCTATCCCAACTAGAATCGCCAAGGGCTACCAGACGTCTCCAGACCTGCGTCTGACCTGGCTGCAGAACATGGCCGGCAAGCACTCGGAGAGGAGCAACCACGCCGAGGCCGCCCAGTGCTTGGTGCACTCGGCTGCCCTGGTAGCTGAATACCTGAGCATGCTGGAGGACCGGAAGTACCTGCCTGTGGGATGCGTGACCTTCCAGGTGATCCCCTCAAGGGGCGGGGGCATCTGGGAGAGGGACGCCTCGGCCAGAGAGCCGGGTTCGAGTCCTCCCTTGGACTTCCCCAGCATGGATGATGCCAGGCCAGAGACCTGCCCTTAGCACCCAAGGCTCTCTGGGACAGAGAAGGTGCCAGCCTGTGCTTGTCTCAGTGAGTGGTGGGGCCAGAGGCTCTCCCTCCATAGTTGATCCTACCTGGGGCCTGATAGCACAGGTGTTGTTAATGCTGTTTTATGCAGAGCAAACGGAGGGTGAAACAGAGGTGAGAGCCATGCTCTGATTCTGGAGCAGGTCAGTAGAAAAGGCAGGATTTGAACCTAGTACTCTGTCTCCTCCGCCCTGTTACACTCTCCTCAGCTGTGGGGTGTGAGAATCCGATACCTGCCCTTTGGTGGTGAACTTGGTCTCGGGACCAAGCCAAGACCCTGGCCAGATGGAAGGTCCAAGGCCAGAATCAGCCGGTGGCACAGGGGTTCGAGTGCAGGTCTGGGAGCCAGGAGAAACCGAGTTCAAATCTAGCCTCAGACGCTGCCCCTGGGCAAGTCACTCAGTGTCCTCATCTGTAAAATGGGGATCATGAAGCACCTGCCTCCCAGAGCTCTGAGCACAGGGCCTGGCCTGTGGTGGGCATTTTATAAAAGCTTCCCCCACCCCTCCCCTGTTTGTGTGAGCTGGGACATGGCCTTAGTTTTCCTGTGCCTCAGTTTCTTCACCTGTCCAGTGAGGGCGGTCGGCCTCGAGGTCCTTCTGGAGCCCCTGTTTTTGCTCATTGGCAGGGCAGCGTCTCACCCGGCCCTGTCTCCACAGAACATCTCGTCCAACGTCCTGGAGGAGTCGGCCGTGTCAGATGACGTGGTATCTCCCGACGAAGAGGGCATCTGCTCGGGAAAGTACTTCACGGAGGCCGGGCTGGTGGGGCTGCTGGAGCAGGCGGCCGCCTCCTTCTCCATGGTAGGTGAGCATGCGGCCGCGGCCCCAACAGGCAGACACAGACACGCATTTCCACATGCACATTTGTAAACCCTCTTTACCGACATAATCAGGGTTGAACGGTGGCAGAATGTCCCGTAGATGTCATCTCTGGAGGCACAAAGTGGGACACAGACTCCAGGAGGAGCGTTCTCCATGAGCATAGACTCCTTTACGAGCCCGGCTCACGCCCAGCCCACGGGACGGTGGCCGGCTCTGGGCAAGGCCCTGCCCCACGTCGGTGTCACTAGCTTTGGCGAGCTCACGTCTTGGCACACGTTGGGCGCTCGGTGCGCGCACGCCATGTTAGCTCACGCTGTTAGCTAGTGCGCGCTCCACATTAGGTCGTGCACACTGCATTAGCTTACACTGTTAGCTCGTGCGCTTACTGTGTTAGGTCCTGCATGCTGCATTACGTTGTGCATGCTGCAAGCTTGTTGACCGTATGCATCTGTTGTTGCTCTTCAGGCCGGCATGTATGAAGCCGTCAACGAAGTTTACAAAGTGCTCATTCCTATTCATGAAGCAAATCGGGACGCAAAGAAGCTGTCCGTCATTCATGGTAAACTCCAAGAGGCGTTCAGCAAAATCGTCCATCAGGTAAGCTCACCACGTCCGTCCTCCATGAACGAAGGGAACATGTGAATGCAGTGGTGGGCTGTGTGCCCCCCAGACCTGTCCTCTGCACTGACTATCTTACTCAGGTTACAAATGACCCGGGTCAGAGTCAGTCTAGGGCCAAAGTGCCTTAGCACTTCAGAACAATTCCTTGTCCTTTTAAGTGCAAATTGTGTGGTTTGCCATATGCCAGCCAAACACAACAAACCTTTTTGTATTTGGTTGAGTTTCTCACCAAGTGACATGAAATGCTCCCTCAGGTTCTTCCTGGGTAGAAGAGTCACCAGGAACTTCCACCTTTTTCTGGGGCATCAGTATTCAAAGGCTCCTTTGCTTGCTTTCTTCTATGCCCATAGAGGGTCCCCACAGACAAGGCAGGGGCTGCTCCGGGACTTGGGCGGAGCCTCCCGGCCTCTCCTGTCCTCTATTTCCCCAGCTGCTCATTGTGGGCCCCCTCTCAGGAAAGGGACTCGCTCCCTGGGCCTCTGCCCAGCGCTGATCCTGCTGCATAATTGACTGGCTCAGTCTCCCAACTCTGTCGGAGTGCTGAGGAGCTCCCCTGAAATCGGCGCAGGCTGGAAGGCTGAGCCAGAGCGCCACGGCCCGTCGTGGTGAGGGGCAGATCCACCCCAGATCAGGCCCCGGGTCCAAGCTGGCCTATGTACGAACAATGCCCTCCCCATCTTGGACACCGAAGCTGGGTTCCTAAGAGACTTTCTTAGCTTCGTGTAAGACTCGCTTGAACCGAGCGATGAGCTGAGGGAGGTGCAGTCAGCTGGAAGCTTGATGCAGCCGCAGCAGCTGGCCAGGCGGGACCCCAGGCTTGCCCCTCGGTGGTCCCGTCGATGGAGGAGGGGACAGGGTGCGCGGTGGGAGGTGCTCGGGGAGGAGGTCAGGGTCTCGGGTGAGCGTGGAGATGCAAGGTGGTGTGTGTGGTTCCTGACACTTGTGACTGATGGGGCCTGGCCCCCGAGCTGGCTTGTCTGTGACGTGCCTTTTCTGCTTTTTATCACACAGAGCACGGGCTGGGAGGTAGGTACCACCTTAGCGAGGTAAAGCCGCTCCTAGATTGATCCAATTCCTCGTGCCCGTGCTTGGCCCACATGTGCTAGCTGTGGGCACTGTGTTGCTGTCTGCTCTTGACCGCATTCATTAACCAAAGACGTTGTTCGGAGCACTGTCCGTTGTCGTAGACACTGATTGTGAGGGCGGTCGAGGCCGTGCATGGGGAACGAGACGTGTCACTAATGAGATCCCCTGGCGAATGAGCCCCCGTGCCATCACCCTCATCTGTTTGCATCTTTCAAACGTTTCCTGTCGTCTGGCACAGAATATCATCTTTGGTTAAAGCCATGTGGTGCTTCCCCCATCCCCAGAGGTCGATTTATGGACATTGTTCAGAGGCACAAAACTACAGCAGCCGACCTGGGCCTGGTTCTAGGAGGCAGGGACGGGAGAGCGGGAGGTGTAAACGGCCCCCGCTCTCCTCGGGCTTCTGGACACCTCTCTGCCATGTGATAGGGCCGAAAGGAAAATACCCACGGGTCTTACTCTGCGCAGTATCTAGGCGATTGAGAAGCTGCGTGGAAATAAAAACTTACTTTATATTCTGTAGGGAAGCTAGCACTTTAAAGAATTCAGTCTCAGTTCCTTTCAGTAACAGCAAAGAATTTCAGATGCCCACCCAATACGCTTAAAAAATGAAATCAGAGCCGTAAGCATCCTTGAGGCTTTACCAGTAAAGTGAGCTTGAGGTCCTAGGTGATGTTTCACATACTGTATTGTTCATACGCACCCAGGTTTGTGATGAAGCAACTTAGATTTTTCTCTGACTGACTTTACGGCATGACCCTGATTTATGGGTCTAAACATACAAATTTGGGAAAAATCTGTTGCGCCCAGATCCATCCAAAGGCAGCACCTACCTTTGATTTTTCTTCCATATGAAGCACCTAAATTACTGCTGAAGTTAATTGGACAGTTTGGTGCCTGAAAAGAAGCTCATTCTGGTGCTTCCAGGAAGTCTCAGTCCGAGGCTTTCCTCTGATAGCACTTTCTTCCCTGGAGCACTTGGCTTAATCAATCAGCTGAAAATTAGAACCTCTGAGCCACAGAGTTGGGAGTCGGCCTGATGCTAAATCGACCCCTGAAACCGATCCTTTTCATTAGCTAGAGCCTTCATGTCACTCCGTCGTCGTGTGTCGCTGCATGTTCAAAGACCCCTCACGTCCGTGTCCTGTCTGAATCCACTCCGCTGTCCACCTCTGCTGAACCTCTAGCTTTTTAGCTGCCAAGTTTGCTGCATGTTTGTTTTTTGCTTTTCTTTTGTAAATACTTTAATGGATGCTTGCATTTTTAAATTTATTTGCTACCATTTGCTGCTTATTTGTTTTGAAATTTCCCTAATTAAAATACTTTCTGTTTTCTCTTCTCTTGCCCCTGGTTGCTGACCCTCCTCCCCACTTTTACTATTGTCTGTTGTGGTAAGTTCGTACTTTGTGAATATTTTTCTTTTTGACTCTGTGGAAGCCACAATAATTCCGTTTTATCAAAGAGCTATGCCAATCAGTTGCCAAAAAGTTGACAAAATTCATTCCCTGGATTGACATCCAGTGAGAATAATTCCGGCATGCCAGCCGGCCGGCTCGAGCCACAAGCTCGCTCGGTGAGGAAGCGGGAGCTGCCCGCCTGTGCTCACTTCCTATCCTCCTCTTGGAATTGGTTCAGATCACTTTTTGAGTTGGCAAAGCTTTTTGGCTCTGTGTGTGTGCGTATCCGAGATAACCCCTAAGACGTGGTTCCTCGCAGTTTGGAAAGGTGTTTCCTGTGCACAGTAACAAATCCTGAGCTCGCCACGAATCGCGATGGCTGTGATCTGCTCTTCCAAATCTGTACTGGCTATGCAGTCTTCACCTGCATCCTCTCTCCTCTTGAGCCCTGTTATTTTTCTCAAAATAATAGAAAAGAAAATACATTTTAATCATTCCTTTTCCTGTGCCTGCATTTGTCGCTTGTGTTCAAAGACATGAGTTTACAAGGCATTTGAGCTTTTTTCTGAATTTCAGTGTAGAAAACCATAGCATGTGTGTGATTTCCAGGTGTGATTTTTCTTTTAATTGTTAAACAATGTGAACTGGCCTAATTTTCTAGAGGGATAAGTACGGAAGTTTGTGTCTTTCTCCCATGACTGGTAGAATGTAGCTAGATAAGACCGTGTCCAGATTTTCAAATTAACCTCCAGTTTTTAGAGGGAGTAACCCCTAAATATTGACGTTCAGCCGGACACTTTTTCTCATTTCTTTGAAACGAATGCCCTCACTTGCAGGAGGCAAGAGTCTGGGTCGGTGGCTGCTTGGTCCAGGGGGTGACCAAGGGAAGGAGTAGGGCTGGCTGTGGGTAGCTGACCTCTGATGGGGGGGGTCCTGGGGAACAGTCAGCCCTCTCCCCGTCACACTGGACCAGGAAGGATGGCACCTGGCCTTCTTGCTAATCTGCTGCAGTGGAGCTAGGAAAGCAGCGTTAGCTTCAGAATAAATGACGCAGTCAGACCTGAGTCTTGTGGGCAAGATAGAAGGCCGCCTGTCTCCACTGAAAAATGCCTGAAACACGCTTTTTTTCCAATGCCATTGTTCCTGAGAATTCGGATCCTGTCTCCTGTCCAAAAGTGTTGCTGTGCACTGCCCTTTTACCAAAGAAGGACCTCCGTGGTAGGAGGGACTTGCCTCTGCAGAATCTTGCCCCCCTCATGGAGGACGCCTCCCTGCGTGCAGTCACCTCCACATATCTGTAGACCGTCTGTATGCTTTGCAAAATGGGGTTTGTATCATTTACTTCTGGGGTAGGCAGATCCCTGGTGGTCCCTGGTGGTCAGTGACAGAGACACCAGAGGTCCCCCTGGCCTTGCCTTTCTACTCCCAGGAGAGTGGACCTGGAAGCCCAGTCTAACCATGGGGCCAGTGAACATTATGCAAAGCCCTGCTCTGGCCTGAGGCTGATTAATAAATATCTGCCTTTGTTTCTAGGTCTGCGTGGGTGGGACAGGTGCCTGGACAGGTGCCCAGGCAGAGTGAGCTGGTGCATATCACTGATTGGTCTGGCAGCATTTGGAATCAGAATTAATTTTAAAGACAGAAACACACTTAAATTCCCATTCCTTTTTTTAGAGCAAAGTCTCTTCTTTCTTCTTCCAAAAATGTCTGTGATGAGCTGTGGTATGCCTCAGGCCTGGACTCCTGTAGGCACTGCCCAGGCTCCTGAACCTGTCTCCCCTCATCAGTGACCGCAGTGTCGAGCCCTGACTCAGCCTGGCCCCTGGGGCCGCCTTCACTGCCTGCAGAGCTCAAGAACTGTTTGTGGAACAACCCTGGCCTGCTGGAAAAAGTTCTGTGCTCACCGGCTCGTAGGGCTAATTGGCATTTGCTCAAGTCTAGACAAGTCAGCAGAGCTGTCAGTCAAGCCTTTGATGTGCAGGTTGCTGGTTTCTGAGAGTGGATTCTCCCCGTGGAAATGTCACAGCCTGCTCTGTTCCCCCCAACCCGGCTAGATCTGGCCCCAGAACAGCCCTGCTACCAGGCTGCACTCCATGCTCTCCGAGGTATAGTCCCGGCCTTCTTACTTTCCCCGGGACTCCCCCCACACACACACTGCTGCTTTCTCCTCTGCCTCCTCTGCCTCCCAGCTTTCCAGCCTGCCCGCTGCTCTACCCCTCTGAGATCCTCCAGCGTCTGTGCTTTTCTGGGCCTCTCCCGGCAGGGCGGTTTGGTTCAGTGTTTGGCTATGGTTCTCTCCTTTAGGTCACGAGGACCAAATAAAGAAAAGACACGCTGTGCCACAGAAGGGAATGAGCATTTAGGTAGCGTCTACTGTGTGTCAGGCACTGGGCTAAGTGTGCGTTCTACCTCAACTCTGCCAGGTAGGTGCTGTTATTACCCCCATTTCATAGTTGAGGAAACTGAGACCAATAGAAGTTAAGTAGCTTGGGGGCATTGAGGTGGCTCAGTAGATAGAGGACCAGGAAAAGTGTGACCCTGGTCCAGTCATTTAACCTCTGCTTACCTGTTTCCTTACCTGTGAAATGAGGATGGTAACAGCACTTACCTCCCAGGCTTGTTGCGAGGATCATATTAACAACTGCCGAGCGCTTAGCACAGCGCCGGGCACAGTGAGCATTATAGAAATGCTGGTTATTTTTAGCAACTTCCAGAGTCCCGCAGCTAGTCAGTGTCTGAGGCCAGATTTGAATTCGGGTCTTTTTCAGTCCAAGCCTGAGTGCTTACCTCCAAGTGAGCAAACTTCCTCCACCAGTATCAGGACTCGCCTTGTAGCCTCAGAGTAGCCTGAGGCTCTGTGGCCTAGTGTCTGGCCCTGGGCACCCCCGAAGCCCAGGGGCCAAGCTGTCCTGACCCTGGGGCTGGCTTTGTGTGTGTGAGGTAGGGGAGAGGGGACCCTGGCGAGCTTTGCCCTTCTATCCATGCCTCCCTGAGGTGCGTGCCCACGGATTCCTCTATTCTCACCTCTCCCTCTTTCGTTTGGTCATTCTTTCATCATCTTCTGAGAAATGGGATGTGGGGCTCCCAGAACAAAATGGCTCCGTTGACTTAAGCAGTCACTCTGCTGTCTTGACCTTGCCACTCTGGCCTGTGATCCCTCAGTGAATATTCCAGGTCTGCCACACCCGCTTATCCAGAGGATAGCCAAGAGCCCTGCTGTACAGTCAACATGTATGAAGCCCCTACTGTGTGCTGTTCAGTGCCTGCCCTCCAGGAGCTTGCAGCCTAATGGGGGAGAAGCTAATGAACAGAGGGGGGGAGGGCAGTAGGTCAGGAAGCCCCAGAGTAGAGCCGAGTCCCCTCCTTGGATGGGGGGGATTAGAGGGGCGCGTGGGTGGGCGGCCTATAGGCATCTGCCGGCCTTCTTGTCTGCCCCAATTTGTACTTCAATATGTCTTCACTGAACTTCCTCCCATCTCTTCCTCTGCCACAGAGGTTTTATGTGGCCTTTAACCACACCATGCATGGTGCCTGTGAGATCCTCAGAAGGACCTTAGTCTGTGTCCTGGCCTCAGACGCCTTCTAGCTTTGTGACCATGGGCCAGTCACTTCCCTGCTCTTGCCTCAGTTCCCTCATCTGTAAAATGGGGGTAATAAGAACCACATCATGAAGCCGAAAGCAAAACTCACAAAAATACCAAAAGCAGTTTTTTTTTTTAAAAGGGTTGTGTTTTTCTGCTTGTCTTTAGAAGCTGAGTCAGGGAGACAGGGCCATGCTTGAGATTGTTTGGGAAAGCTGGCGGGAAAGGGCAGGGTGGCTCCCTGTGGGCTTCCTATCTGTACTCACATCCAGGGCGAGTGAATCCTTAGCCAGGAGAGGACCAGAGGAGCATTACTGAAGAGGATGGATGTCCTTTTGTGGGGGAAATGCCCCCAAGAGGTCCAGGGGGATCCCAACCAGCATAAGGGTCCAGCCAAGCAGCATCAGAGGCTGGTGCCCAGGAAAAGGAGGTGGACGCTTGGAGGAGGAGACTGGATCTGGCACTCACCAACAGGGACCGCTGGCTGCTGGCATTGCAGTGGAAGTGACTGATTCATCTATTCTGTGATAAAGAAAGTAGGGACTTCTCAGTTGTGTGAGCCCCAGGAGGGAGGGTTGGGCAGTGTGTCAGGTCTCCGTGTCCTCCCAGACCTCTCCAGAGCAGACATTATGCACCAGAGCAGCTGCAGCCGTCTCCATGGTCTAGGATGCCTGGGACCCAAGAGAAGGCTTACAAAACAAGCCGTCCATTACCCAGCACCTGCACCCCCCTGCCCAACACCCTGGGAGCAGTGTGGCTGCATCAGCCTCCCCGAGGACCCAGCAGACACCCAGCTCCAGGCTCTGGGACAGCACTGAGGCATTGTCATATGATGCAGCAGAGCAAGGGACGTGTCGTGCCTGGGCTCGAATCTGAGCTCTGCACGCTGCCCCCACACCCCACATCAGAGCCAGTGAGGAAGCCGGACGGGGCATTGTATATGAGTGGGAGAAGGGGGAGCAGTCCGTGCAGCCCTCCGCTGAGCTGAAGCAAAAAGGCCCAGCATCCACTGGGGAGGGGGAGGAGACCTAGAGGCTTTGAGACCCAGGCCCTAGGAAACTGCTGTCAGAGGGCAGGGAGTCAGGAAGCGAGTGACAGTATCTGCCCCAGGCACGGGAAGACCTTGTCCCAGGCAGAACGGGTGGATGAGAACGATGTGTTCCAGCAGCCAAGAAGGCGGCCGAAGCAGGTGCCACAAAGCCCTCGGAGCGCCATCAGACATTGAGGACGCCACGGTCCTCCACTGCATGCAGGGCAGGGCATCCTGCTGCCGGACTTGGATGGATCTGGAAAAGAGAGTGGGGTGGCAGCAAGGTAATGCAGCACCCGTGACGTCATTGGTGTTCTTCAGAGAGGAAGGACAGACTGCAGTGGCACTGCTTAATTAATGGACGGACTGGGTGGCCAAGAGCCACCTGCGGAGATGACCCTAAAAGAGTGAAGCCTGGCCGGGGGAGCGAGGGGCCTGGAAACCCTATTCTATGAGGACTGGTCGTGGGGGAGCAGGGGAGCTCCAAACTGAACAGAGCCCCAGAGCTTCTCTGTCTCAGTCACTCTCTTCTTTTTTTCTTTTTCTGCACATTAACAAGACTATATATGGATATTCATATTCACAAAGAAAGACAAAGTGGAGACAGAGACGCGTTCTTCAGGTATTGGCAGGACCACATGTTGTGCAGGAAGGGCTCCGTTTTGTGTGGGGCTCCAGGGAGCAGAACAGGACCACGGGGTCGAGTGGTGGGGAAGCAGGATGGTCATGAGCAGGCGCCTCCCTCCCTTGCTTTTTAGGGAGATTCTCAACCTGGTCCCTCTGGTCGGTGCAGCTCTGCTCCAGCATGCAGACTCTCCTTCCTTACCTCTGTCTCCTTTGACACCTCCTTCATCTCAAGGGCCTTCACAAGACCTTTCTTGCACCCCCCCCCGCCCCGAGTTGTTAATGCTTCCTCCCATCAAAAATTACCTTGCCTGTATTTTGTGTTGGGCAGCCAGGTGGGGCAGTGGTTAGAACACCAGGCCCAGAGTCCAGAAGATCTGAGCTCACATTCAGCCTCAGATCCTTACTAGCTGTATGGCCCTGGGCAAGTCATTTCACCCTGCTGGCCTTGGTTTCCTTATCTGTAACATGAGCTGAAAAAGAAAATGGCACACCACTCCAGTGTCTTTGTCAAGAACACCCCAGATGGGGTCACAAAGAACCAAATGCCACTGAACAGCACCATTTTGTATTGACGTGTAAACTCTTTGAGGGCAGGGAGTTTTACTTGTCTTCTTGTCTGCAGCGTCTAGCCCACGGCTGCCTGATCAGCTGCGCTGTTCAGGGTTGTTGATGCAGGGATTCCTGCACTGAGAAGTGCCTCATACCACACTCTCTCTGCAGCTGTTCTCAGTCCTGTTTTTAGATCACGTGCTGAATGAGTTTGCCTCGATCCAGGTGGAAGGAGAGTCTTTCCCCTCCTGCTTCAGATTGTACAGATTGTTTTTGCTGCATTTGATTAGGTTTTTCCCCTGTTATCAAACTTTCACTGTCCTTTCCATCCACCTGTCCCCTGAAATTAAAAAATTTTTAAAAAACTGTTTTAACAAGTGAGCCTAGCCAAGCAAAACAAATCACTCTATTGGCCATGTCCAAAAACGTGTTTCTCATTCTGGATATTAGGTCCTCGTCTCTGTCAGGAGGGGGCAGCTTTCTTTATCATTGATGCTTTAGAGTTGTGATTGATCATTATATTGATTAGAAATCTTCCGTGCTTTAAAAGTTTTTCCTTTTTGCAGTGTTGATAGTATAATATTAGTTGTTCTCTTGGGTCTGCTCACTTCCCTCTGCATTAGTTCATGCTAGTCTTCTCAGGTTTTCTCTGAAACCTTTCCTTTCCTCATTTTGTGCAACACAATTCTATTCTGTTACATTCATGTACCATACTTTGGGTTCAGCCATTCCCAATTAGTGGACACCCCCATAGTTTGCAGTAGTTTGCCATACAAAAAGAGCTGCTATAAATATGTGTATTTATAATAGGGGTGTGTGTGTGTGTGTGTGTGTGTGTGTGTGTGTGTGTGTACGTATACATATGTAGTCTGCATACCACGTGTGTGAGAATAGAAGAGGTTTTTAGGTGACTACTTGAATATCTCTTAAATTTTGAAATGCCAGTACTGTTTACAAGTTTTTTGCTTTTTAGCCAGGAAAGTCAGTTGATACCTAGTTTACAATTAGATCCAGTAGACCCAAAGAGATGTTTTTGTCTGTAGTAAAGCAGAGTAATTATGTGCAGTATATTTGAGGTCACCCTCCCCCCACTTTGTGGTAGGGAGGGTTAAGTGTACAGTCAGCTCTTACAGTCAGCGCTCATCAAACCCCTGGCCTGGGGACGCAGCACCCGGAGTGAGCTTCACCCAGAAGAAGTGAACACAGATAAGCATGACTCACACTCAGCTCTCCAGTTTGTGGCCATTCCTTTACCTGAAATATTAAACAGTACAGAACGGGTCAAGAGCTTTCCAAGATGCGTCTGGTCCAGTCTAGTTCTGCCTGATCTCAGAGCCAGGCCTTGCAGAGCTGGCAGAAAGGTGGGCAGGCCATCGTGGCTCCTAGCAGCCAAGCTGTCTGATGGTAGAATGGGCTGCCATTGTGGCTGGTGCGGTCCTTCACAGTCAGTGTCTTCCTGCAAAGACCGGGTGATGCCTTGTCCAGGGCATGTTACGGGGCTGTCCTGGTCAGGTCTGGATTGGCCTAGATTACTGTGTGTCCTTGCCCCCACTGGCAGTCTGTTGAAATCTAGAGCCCCTTTTCAAAATTGTGTGTGTGTGTGTGTGTGTGTGTGTGTGTATGTGTGTTTTCATTTATAATTAAAAGAAATGCTAAATTTCAGTTAGTGAAAATAAAGATATAATTTCCCCCCATTCAAGTTCATGGAATGTCCATGAGTCTAGCTATGGACCCCAGGTCTAAAGAGGCTCCATGATTCCTTCCCCCTCTGAGATTGTGATGCCAATAGAAGGTGTCCTGCAGACAGCCAATCTGGGTTTCACATTTCCTCCACATCCCTTATGTCATTTGTACACGATTTTTCGTGACCGGTTGTGTCAGCCCCTGCGACCTGGTATTGAGAAAATGAGAATGAGAGAGCATGAAAATGAGATGTGGATTCTATGTAGACTCAGTTGGCGGGTATGTCTCTATGTGGGCACATTAGCACAAAGCCCTTCCGGTACAGCTGAATGGCAGATGTGTTTCTGGGGGACACAAAGCACCTCAACTGTCATTTCTAAAACTACTTCTCATTTGGATTCTCTGCATTTTTTGTGAGAGCCAAAGTAAGCCTGTCATAGTTTCTTCCTAAAATAGACCTGTGGTGGGAGCGCACATTGGACAGTTTGGGGTCTTAGAGAAGCAAACCAACCTTCCCCTCAGAATGTGATTCCCTCCTTGGCATTTTTGTTTCACATTAGTCTTCCAAGCATAGGTCACTCTCTTCCATCTTTGCTGGCAGAGAGGCCCTCTGAAGGGCTTTCAAACCCAAGACAGACTCTGTAAGATACGCACGCACCGCTGCTGCTTTAAATACTGCTGTCACTGACACGAAGCACGTATGAGAAGCACGGGTCAACACGTGCCTTTTCTTTAACTCAGAAGAGAAGCAAGTTCAGTTGCTGGACTTAAACCAGGACATCGTATGTGACTTGTTCTCTGTGGGCTAACCTTAAAAATGCTTATTGAACAGAGTAGTCATTTAGCGATCTGGGCATAATATTATGTTGCTCTTTATTTTAAATCCTTTCTTCATTTAAAAAAGACGCCTAGTCGTTTTGCCCGTAGAATTTCCCTTTTGGTCAGCTTGCACTGATGCGTGCCGTGTGTGGTACGAAGCGGCTCTTTGTGCTGAGACACTTCCGTCGTCTTCACCTAGGACGGCAAGCGGATGTTCGGGACCTATTTCCGTGTGGGTTTTTACGGGACCAAGTTTGGGGACTTGGATGAGCAGGAGTTTGCGTACAAGGAGCCCGCGATAACCAAGCTTGCCGAGATCTCACACAGACTGGAGGTGAGTGCCTGGACGGTCCAGCGGCGCCGTTCCCGCCCTGAGCGCCCAGCCTGGATCTTGTCACTTAGTAAGCCCGTGGTGCAGTTCTTCTACTTACGCGCTCTGGTAGACGCAGACAGTGCCCAGAGCCATGCCCCCCAACTTGAAAGCCCTCAGCTCATCCAGAGAGTGGCTCGCCGGGAAAATCTGGCCCGCAGACTTTGAGCTTTTCTTTGTCGATTGACCTTTAGTTGGTATTTGGCCAATATCCTTTTTCTGATTCTTACCACACTTACGTGGTTTCCGTCTTCCTGAGCCCAACAAAAAGCAGACCTTGGGCATCACAGAAATTAAACGTGAGCTACCCTTCCTTCTGTTCCCTTATTGTTTGGTTTTCTCAAAAGTCTACTGAGAATCGTGTGTTTTCTAAGTGCGGATGCTTGCGTTTTTTGCTTTTTATAAATTGAGAAAAAAGAGGAAATTTGAGCAGAGTCAGTGCTAAGTTTGAGGACCTGTTTTTTTGGCAGATGAAACAAATGATTTCTCAAAATCATTCGCGCGGCTGTTTTATACATTAAAGCCATCTAAACGCTCACATCCTCTGAGCTCTCTTCACAGCAGCACTTGTCTTACCTTTGAATTTTGTGTGAAATTTTTCCTCTTTATTTTAGGGGTTTTATGGAGAAAGATTCGGAGAGGATGTAGTCGAAGTAATCAAAGACTCTAACCCTGTGGACAAGTGCAAATTAGACCCTACTAAGGTACGCCGACAATAGACAGCCAGGAAGTGTCATGATGCCTTGCAGATGCTCCCTGACTTATTTGGGAGAAGCTAAATTGATGACGGTATGACACGATATTGAAAAAGCTAAGGCGGTCTTTCTTCTCTTAGGCGTACATTCAGATCACATATGTGGAGCCGTACTTTGACACGTATGAAATGAAGGACAGAATCACGTACTTTGACAAAAACTATAATCTTCGACGTTTCATGTACTGCACACCCTTCACTTTAGACGGCCGTGCCCATGGGGAGCTCCAGGAGCAGTTCAAACGGAAGACCATCCTCACAACGTCCCACGCCTTCCCTTACATCAAAACCAGAATCAACGTCATTCACAAGGAGGAAGTGAGACCCGGGGCCCGGGCTTGGGTGAAGAACGGTTTAGAGGGGGGAGGGATGGGTGCTGGCTGAGCCCCGTGGCCCCACGTGCGCTGCGCCCCTCATCTGTCACCCACCAGCATGGTGCCATGCCCTTGGGCCAGAAGGTGCTTTATGCCTGGAAGGTTTGGCTCTTCGTAGGGGTAACCAAAGTTTAGAAATAAAGAACAAAGTGAGAATCCACAATGGACCTTTTAGAGTTTCAAGTGAAATACATTAATTTTCATTAACTTCATTAATTCAGTCATTTTAATGAAATTTATTGACTGGCTCAGGGCTCGTCTTACGGATGCTGTTTCTCTTAGATCATATTGACCCCCATTGAAGTTGCTATTGAAGACATGCAAAAAAAGACCCAGGAGCTGGCCTTTGCAACACACCAGGACCCAGCAGACCCCAAAATGCTTCAGATGGTCCTCCAAGGGTCTGTGGGCACAACCGTAAACCAGGTAGGACCACCGGAGGGAGAGGAGTTCTGCTCAGTGTCACCCAGAGTCACAGTTGGTTAGCAGTTAGTGAATACTTAAAGAATTTACAGTGCATCTGAGTCCATCACTGGCGTGCCTCGCAGAGGTCCAGGTTGCAGCCATCCTTGCCTGCCCGTGCTGGACGCTTCTTGCCCAGCCTTCTGGGGCTTCCCTGGACGTGGCCTGTCCATCAGTTACCCGTTCTCTCTCTCCGTGTGACCAACCCATCCTTCTCCATTTTCCTTGATGCTGCCCGGGCTCCAGTTTTCCCCAGTCCTTTGTTTGCACTGTGCGTGGCCTTCTGCTGCCGCCAAGTGCCTGCCTCTGCATTGCCCTCCGAGCTGTACTTGTTGTGAATTCATTGAAAGCTATAGAGTCCTGTGACTCACAGCCACAGTAGAAAATTGATCAGGATCACAGATAACTAAAGAATAAATCAGCTAAAAATGTGTTTATCTTAGTTGGGGAGTCTTTGTAGAAACTGGTTTTAGAGACTTTTTAACACTGCAGGTACACACAGATTAGGACAGGTTCACGTGTTCATGCATTTGTTTCATTAACATCTTATTAATCACCTGTGTAAGCCAGCCCCTTTCCTGGGTGCTGGAGAAGCAAAGACAAAAAGGCAGCGGCTCCTGCCTTCAGGTAGTTTATAATCTGCTAGATGGAAACCACAGGTGCATAGACAAGTAAACACAATATGAAGCAAAGGAATTTGGAGATCAGCGGGTGGAGGAGAGAGCTACTGTTGGGCCTGCCCATCTCCCTCCTCCTGCGGCGATCCCAAAGAGAGGTGACCCTGGTGGAGACCCCTCCCCTAGAGACAGGTGCCCCGCCCCCAAGCATGACCAGGCCGGGGTGGTCGGCGATGCCTGGACGCTTGAAGATGGAACGTGTTTGATTCTGCCTGTGACAGAGAAAGTCCCTTTAAGTTTGTGATGGATAAGCGGGAGGGAGGAAGCTTGGCTGGGAGGGAGGAATCCCGTAGAGGAGCGTGGGCCACAGAGGGAGAATGACTGTCGCTTCAGACTACAGGGGTCAGCCAGGCGTCCCTCGGCCAGGTGTTACTCTCATCTAAGGGGGTGGGAGACTTCTAAAAGTGGGAGGGCAGAAAGTTTCTCCCCTTGGCTCCTCGCCCTTGGATTGGACACGGGAAGGAGGCCGATGTCAGCATCAAGAACGGGCTTGAATCTATTTGGAGCATTCCCCAGTGTCCCGCTGCGTTCACTGTAGAACAGGAAAAACACACACACACATAGATGTATATACAACCACACAACACACATATATAAAAACAGCTGAACGTGTCCTCCTGTATGGCAGCTGGGTGGCACCGTAGTGCCAGAGCCCTGAGCTCAAATCCTGCCTCAGCCGCTGCCTCACTGGGTGCCCCTGGGCAGGTCGTTGAACCCCATCTGCCTCAGTTTCCCCAGCACCCCCTCCTGGGGTGAGATAGTGTCGGTGAAGTGTTCTACGAAGCTTGGGGCACAGCATGTGGCCGTGTCAGCGAGTGCCTGTCACTCCCATTCTTGCTGCCATCATCACCATTGTCTGTGGTGGTTTTTAGGAGGAGGGCCAACGGCGTCTCTTTGTCTTGCAGGGACCTCTGGAAGTCGCCCAAGTGTTCCTGTCAGAGATACCCCATGACCCCAAGCTCTTCAGGCACCACAACAAGCTCCGCCTGTGCTTCAAAGACTTCACGAAGAGGTGCTTTACGGGTGGCGCGGCGGGGGGGGCCGGCCCCGGGCCCTCAGCGCCGGGGCCCGGCGGCTCTTGCCTCCTCAGCCGTCCCGGTGACTGACGGGGTCCCGAGAGGCGCGTCAGCGTAGTCACTGGGAACGCGAGTCTAGGCGGTCCACGCGTTCGGCCCTAGTCATGGAGCGGGCCGGACCGGACCCCAAGTGACCACGCTGCCCTCCCGCTGCCCACTGACCGGTCTTGTCTCCTAGGTGTGAGGACGCCCTGAGAAAAAACAAGAGCTTGATCGGGCCCGACCAGAAGGAGTACCAGAGGGAGCTGGAGAGGAATTACCACCGCCTGAAGGAGGCCTTGCAGCCACTCACCAGCAGGAAGATTCCTCAGCTGTACAAGGCCCTGCTGCCCAGCACCGGCCACAGGTACCAGGCGTGGGCACGAAGGTCTCCTCTGTGGAGGCCTCCGGGGCACAGCTGAGATGCGTGAATGGAGTCAGAGGGAGGAGAGGCTCAGCTGGGTGTGGGAACAGAGGTTCTCATTGGCGAGTCCCGTCTCCGGAAACCTTTGAGCTGAGGAGGGATGGCTCCCCGTCAGGGTGTCATAGAGGGGCGTGTGCACTGCCTGGACAGCCACACCAGGTGACCTCCTGGGCCCCTGCTAGCCTTCCACAGCATCTTCAAACCAGGGCCCCTTGTTCCATGGATTGCTGTGTCTCCTGTCTCCTAGAACATGGCAGAGTTAGTCCATAAGATGGTCAGTGGTCTTGCCCCCAGAAGCAACTGTAAACCGATGGTGATAAAGATGGGCCCTCCCCCGAGGACTAAGTCTGGAACTCCAGAGTCAGGACCCGTAGTTCTCAGTGTGTCTCCGATACACCTCTGACATCTGGGGCAAGGAATGGCCCTGGGGGTTGTACAGGTTGGAGGAAGGTCACCCTTGCCCCTAGAAAACTGAGCGGGGAGAGGCTCGTGGCGAGACCAGGCAAGAGTGGGGGAGGAAGGACAGAGGTGAGAGATGCCATGAAGGTAGAAGCAAAAGACGACAGCAGACGTGCATCCGTGGCGAGCGGGAGCGAGGGGGTGACCGGGAGCACAGCGGTGCCCCAGACGGGACGGAGAACTTCAGGGAAGGGACGAGATACCTGCGGGACAGAGGTAGTGAAGCCTCCTGGAGCTGAGGGAGGAGGCCAGGGCTGGGTGTGGAAATCCAAGAGTCCTGTGCATAGAGCGGACGCCCTCAGGGTGAGATAATAAAGTGGCGGGAAACTGGGCCCCAGGACGAAGCTGTGGGGGCCACCGATGATGACCAGGTTGGAGAGCCCAGAAGAGATGAGAGAGGCCCTGTGCAAAGTGCCGGGACACAAAGACAGACAAAAAGCCTGTTCCTGCCCTCCAGGGCCTTCCCTTCTAACGGGCAGAAACAATACATGAAAGAGATGTGACCAGCACAGGTGCTGAGAGGAAGGGGACACAAACCGGAAAGGCAGGAGTGTGGCCAAGAGAGGGAGCCAGGGTGGCGGCCTGGGCCTTCTGCACGTGGTGGTTCTGGGAGGGCCGCTGGGAGCTCCAGGAAAGGAGAGAAAGATGAGGACTGACAAAAGTCCGCTAGATTTAGCAGGGAAGAGACCCTTGGGCATGCAACAGAGGACGGGAATTAGCTGACCAATCAGCAAATACTTCTGAAGTGCCCACCGGGGGGCAGGTGGCAGGCGAGCCGCCGGGGATGCACATACAAGGAGGGAAATGATCCCTGCCTGCAGGAAGCTTACATTCTAATGGGGGAGACAACAGGTCGTGAAAAAGATAGGCAACATCAGTGTTAACAGGGAGGGAGGGCGGCGGCACAGAAGATGGTGCCCGCGAGGCCTTGGTGGGAGGAAGGCAGGGAGGAGCGCATTCCAGCCTGCAGAGCTTGGGAGGATGTTCTGAGATTCCCTTTGCTGAGTTAAGAGACACTGGGGGCCTAGCGATTGCACAGAATGGTGCAGAGACGCTTTGCTTATAATCCCCTTTCCTTGATTTCCCCCCCAGAGATTCCTTCAGCAGAATGAGTCTTCGCAAAGTGGACCTCTAGGGAAAGACACAGCACTTGCCCTGGCTTATTGAAAAGAAAGCCATGTCTTCAGCAACATCAGAACCTGGGACTTCGTTTTGGACACATGCTTTCATGTCCTTCCGTGGAAGAGTTCAGTGGTCAGAATGATACTAAATTGTGAACTGTAGACTGTTACTGCGTCAAAACCATGGCTGTGGTTTCCAGTGTCCTGGGAGATACTGCAAGCTTTCCAAAAGCCATTTCTATGATTCACAGGTACACTAAATACATTTACTATTATTTATAGCATACCTAATGTTAAATTTATTTACATTAAGTTCATAGATTTAATTTATATTAGGAGCTTTTCCAGATGCATTTTTGAACCATTTTAATGTAGTAATGTTTATTTTAAAGGTACTTATTAAATATGTGGATGTTTTCACTTATTTTATTCTGATGTGAACATTCCCATTTGTTGGGGGGGGGCAGAGGCTGATAGAAAATGGATTTATAGCTGTTGCTTCCAAGTTATTGAAATGAAAATTTGGACCAGTGACCACATAGATCTGAACAACAGCCCTGTGTGGAGATGGATAATGGGAACATATGAAATTTAAAATGAAGACACTCTAATGATAGCTGCCCAGTTCCAAGCTCCTGCCCTCGGATTGTCCTGAGGCCTGGCGGTCACTGACCGCGTCCCTGAGGAGCAGAAAGGACCCAGCTGTGACAGACGGTGGGCGTCGTCTGGGGCAAGGACGTGATGCAGCAGGTAGACTTCCTGGGGTGGGGCCAGAGGGATTGTCCCAGATGAGGGCAGGGGTTCCACGTGCTGTAGCCTGTCCTGATTCAGTTCTCTGGCTCCAGGTTATTTGTTTTTGGACAGTTCAGCCAGTGAAACAGCCGTTTGCCACACAGGCCATAAAGACTGTTTTCTCTAGAGCACCAGCCACCTCCGAGGGAGCGTCGGGTCATTTGGACGTGATGGTGAATGGTGTGGGATCGTATTTTCAGAATCCATCTTGGCTGTTACTTGAAGAAAAATTGCACCTCTGGTTATCTTGGCACCTTGGAAAGATTTTCTAGGGAGAAACTGATTATTGTCAGAAAGTATCAGATGAAGGAGGTGTCATTTGTAAGTTCTCAGTTTATCGGTACTTACCCCTCTGGCAGGAAAGAAACACGTGTCTGGCCTGAGGACACATGAATAACTAGAGATTTTGCAATCAGTGTGTCGGGTCCCATGTTTCACGATGCTGTTCATTGATCCCAGGGAAGCAGACCTTTCTTCTGTCTAGAAGTGAGCAGCATGACTTCTGCTAGTGATACCTAAACAAGGAGCCAGATTCTGTAAAACATGTCCAAGTGGGCAAAACCATTTTGAACTGACTTCCCACGGTAGCGGGTCTGACTGACCCACAGGGAGCAGCTCCTAGCCCGGCCCGTATGTGGATGTATGCCATGGCTGGCTGCTGACTGGCGCCCCAAGGTAGGTGCCTAGAGAGACCCTCATCCGTCCTGTCCCCGAGGGCCACAGCTGCTCTGCCTCACGCAGGTCTGGGCGTGAGGGGATTAGATGAAGTCAGCAAAGTGGGGCCCTGCACCTGCCCTAGCCCCAGATGATGAGGAGGGGGGTAACGGCTAACACCGAGCTAAGCAGGATACAATTATCTCCCTTGATCTTCACACCCACCCTGGGAGGGAGGTACTGTGATCACCCGCTTTACAGGCGAGGAAACTGAGGCAGAAGTGAGGTGACTTGCCCAGAGCCCCATGGCTAGGAAGGGTCTGAGCTGAACTTCAGGCCAGGCGCTGGCATTTTACTCATTCTGTGACCGTCTTTGGGCCAGTCAGCTCCTGTCCTTATCTGGAAATTAAGTGGGGCTCTCAGATTCCACCCATCTGGTCTGAATGGAAGGCTACAGGACAAGCCCCATGTTGTAGCAAAGGGAAGGAAGCCCCTCTGCCTGCAGCCAGGACCGGGGGAGCTGGAGGGCAGGCTGCCTTTAGACGATGTCTCAGGACAGGGTGGCTCCCAGAGCCCAGCTGCTGTTGAGGCCTCGTGGACTGAAGCGGCCTTGCAGCCTGCTCATAAGACCATGAGGACACCTTCAAACGTAAGTACGCTTTCTGGAAGGTCTGCCTGCTGTTTCGCTGTCACAATTAAGGCATGCGGTATGTCCGATTGTTGGAGAGTAGGTGAGCTTTGGTTCTAGAAGCTATACCAGATGCTCATCTCCCATGAAGTGCCCACCCGAGGTACCACACACTTAAGTTAACCCTACAACCCCAGCGAATAGAAGGGAGTCCTCAGTGATTCAGAATGCACTTCAGGGTCACGTCACACATCTGGCTCCTAATTTACAGAAGTATTGGACTGAAAAAACTCGCCATCGGAGCTCTCTGGTTTGTCCCGGGAACAGTAAGAGCAAATTAGCCCAAAGGCCTGACTTCATGGCTCTGAAGTCTGCCTTCAGACTCCTAAGCCAGTCCCTTCGCATAGGGGACCTTTGCCTTAAGGGAAAAAGAAACCTCAAAATATTCCACCTCGATGATTTCCTAACATTTTTATTTTTGAAAAAATGCCTTACCCAGTGTTCAAACAACACATTACCATTTATTGTGGTGGTTATACAGTGACTGTTCATTTTGTCTAAATCAACAGGATAGCATAGTCCAAAACCTCAAGTGCAATCTCAGGCAGCCTTCATACCGTCCAGAATAAATACCCAGTCTTGAGTGGCTCATACCCAGAGTACTGTGTCCATTTCTGGACACCACCTTCTAGAACGGACATTGTGGGTGGGCACAAACAATGGTGAGGGGACTGTGCCTTTCCCAACTTAGCTGAATGGACAGATGTTTGATCTAAGAGACTATGTGCATAGAAGAAGAGTCGTCTTTGAATATTTGAAGAGTAACGTGGGAGAAAGGAGCAGACTTGTTCTCAGCCCCACACAACAGGGGGTACTTCTGGGGAGGCTAATCTCAACTGTCATGCTAGATGAGAAAAACTGCCTTTGGAGCTTAACACGGGGGAAGTGGGCCACAAGTGGTGGAGGCCAGTCCTCCGGCCTGTTCCTCACGTGTTAGGGTTAGTGTTCACAAAGCGACTTTGATCATGCTTGCGCATTCATCCCACCCTGTTGGCCTTCGCACATGGAAGACGGGGTGACACTGGGCCCAATAGTTTCCTTTTAACAAGCAGTGACCTTAAAGAAATCATTTCATTCTCAAGTCTCGAAGTTTCTTCTTCCATAAAACTAGTATCTACTTGGTCCTTTATAGCTACAGCATCTTAAGTAGAAAGATAGGCATCCGCCAATGTTTCTGAACACAGTAGGCACTCACTCTGTAATACTTTTACCTCCACACTATCATTTTCCTTGTAGAGTATCTTCAGTCTGATAGAAATTCTGGTGTAGTTCAAACTTAATACACAATTGTGCTATAAAAATAATCATTTCTTTGAAATATCTCCTTAAGACAAAAATTATTTTTCTCGAGTGACATTTTAGATCGTGACTATTAATAAACAATGTCTAAATAAAGCTTTGAAGATTTTACCATTTATAATGGTCTTTTCCAATGAGTAAGCTTTACTTTTAAATACATTTAAGATTTCCATGCAGATACCTTGTTTGAAATGCTCTGGCTTGACTATTCCGTCAAGTCATGAGTAACTTTGAATTGATGAAATGGCTTGTTCCAAATGCTACCGAGTAGGGCCTATCACATTTTTCACGTACTCCTTTCAAAGAGAACTACCGTAAGGTAAACAGCATCCTCAATCACTTTTTAAGGGCTGGTAAAGCTAGTATATTACTTTTCATACAAGAAAATAATGTTGTAAAGGTGATTATGAATGTTTATTCCACATATATACATAAATTCTGTTCTTGAAAAGAAACCAGATGCTTTAGGGTAGAAAGCTGTAAGTACAAAACTTCAGTGCGCTTGTATACATAGCTGCTAAGTATTTTAAATTGAATGCCCTCCCTGCTTTAAAAAAAAAAAACACAACCTTAAAGGTCATACCTCTAAATTTTTATATCCTATTTACAAATTATATAGCAATATGACTATGAAGAAATACAGACTACTCTTGTCCAAACCTAGACTGATCTGCTAAAGTACAAAATCATAATCATAAATATATATATGTATATCTATAAAATCCTTCCTAAGGTAGTGATGGGCAAGGATGCTGTCCAAGGGCTTCTGAGATACACCTTCCAAAGTGATCCAAGGCACAGAATTCACGCCAGTGTGAACATGCAAGTTCTAGAATCTTCAAGGACTCTGCTTCTTAACTTTGTTATAAAACTAAATGCAATGAGGCGGCTGCCTCCTAATTACAAAACCACACAACCTATAAACATTTTGGCAATATATATAATTATTCCAAAATATGGAAAATACAAATACAGCACTTTATTCTTAAAAGCCGATACAAGAGACAGGTGTAAAACTTTCTTTAAAAAGTGTTTTTAAAGAGCTCTATTTGGACAAACTGTTCCAGAACCTACACAAATTTGTCCTTGGAAGCTAACGTATTGCTAGTCTCCAGCAGAGTGGTTAGTGAATGTGGAAAATGAATTCTAAAAATTAACAGGGCTTTCAGTCATTCAGAGTTCACTAGTCATACAAAAACTAGAGACCAGTAATAACCCAGGAGCTTCCAAAAGGCCAACGAGCCGCTACCAAGGAGTCTTTGCTGTAATCTCTATTTATAAGATTATCCAAATCTGTTTATATACACAAGGAAAATACACTCACTCTATAATTTTCTTATAAAACAGTAAGTAAGGAGTGGATGTGGAGGATGTCGCAGGGGAAAGTGAATTCAGGAAGTCTTTCTCTTCTGTCACCTTCACTTCCGAATCATCAAAGAGCAGCCACTTCCCCTCATACTCTTTCAAGCTCTGTATCACATCAGACACTCTGTTTTCCATCCATTCGCATTACTGTCCATCCGGCCACTGGACTGCTTGGTTCCGTCCAGCTCCTGGGTCCCGTTGGTGCTGCCAGACTCGGGGCTTCCGTTTTCAGCCAACGCCCCGATGACCTTCTCTGAGCTAGACGCTCGGTGGCTGCTGCAGAACTCGCAGTCCGGCCTACTCTTCTGTCCCCCGAGGAGCCCGACGGCTTCCACATTTTTTTTGCTCAGGACTTTGCTGGGCTGCGCGCTCCCGTTGACTCGGAAGGCTGCCTCATCGTCATGTTCTTCAGTGAGAGCCTTGGCGTTCCCTTCGTTCGGCAGGTCAGGCTTGCCCGCCTCGTACATTTGGTCCACCACAAAATTCTCTGTGTCGAGCTGCAGACTGTTCAGGTCGGTGACTTTAACAGAAGCGGTGTAGTGCCCGCTGCTGATGGTGATGCCGCTGTGCATGACCACCGCGAACAGTCCGTAGCTGTCGCTGGTTGGCTTAGTGCTCCACTCCTCCAGGG